TAGAAGTAATAGCAAGACGCCTACCTACTCGACTGCAAAGGAAGTGGGTGAAGATAAGCTCCCGTATGGAGAATGAGGGTGTCGAGCCAAAATTTGATGATATCCTTAAACTAGTAAAAGATAGTGTCAATCAATCTTTGAGCACGTTTGCCATTGTATTGAATCTCACCCCTAGAATAGAGCAGTCTGAGGGTAAAACGCAATCATTGATGACGAAAGGGCCTCAGAGAGGTGGATATCGAGAAGGCTCCATGATGTCCAGTAATGCATATAGACTTAGTGAGTGTAACAGTTTTCGTAGTACATCCTCAACAGATAAGTTACAAGATGCAAGACAAACACGGTTGTGTTTTACACGTTTTCAAGAGGTGCATACAAAGGTGAACTGTGAACCAGTGAGCAAGTTCAGTGATAGGCTAAATGTGAACTCCAGGCCTGACTCCGAATTGTGTGACGATAACGGTGCGGTCAGGAAGTCTGTAGTTACAACTGGTAAGCCATTGTTGAATAAAGTGTCACAGAATAGAGTTATTGCTTCAGAATGCAGTTCTGACTCCACAAGTTTACAAGGTATTACTAGTCAGAGTGAAGATATAAAACCTTTTATGATATGCGAGGAGGAACCAAAATTGTCTACTTCTGTTATTAAAGAGTTTGAAAATGATAAATTTGACGGTAAAGTGAATATTCATGATAATGATCATGATACTTCACATTTGTCTTTGGTTGATCATGATGAGATGAGGGATGTGCCTACTACTGCCAAGTTGAACAAAAGTTCTGTACAACTTGAACGTGAAGTAGAAATAAATGCAGATGCAGTTGCAGAAGGCATGCATACTTGTGAGACCGTCAGTGTGATTGATCAGCATATAGCCCACCTATCATCAGATGCCATTGCTAAGCTTGAGCTGATAATAAAAGACGGCATTGGTGGTGGTCTTGCATTTAGACAACTATCTGAAAGCCGAACAACAACAGCTTCTGATCCACCGCTAACTTCATCAACTGGTATCAATCAGTCGTCGTTGGTGTTGTCATCCACAATGAAACAGTCGCCCATCAACTCTAGTATCTTCTGCAATGACTATGATTGTATTGGTGCATTTGAAAAGACGAAAGATATTGGTCAGTTTAGTGAGGATAAGGCAGGTGTAAACGAGAGAGCAATTGTTAAATTGACTTGCACGAATAAAGGCACTTCTAGTTTCAAGTTACTATTTGAATGCTATTATCTTTGGTGTAAATTACTCTGTGCCTACGCTTGGTTGACCAGATACGTCGTATGTTTGTTCGTCATCTATATTCTATGATACAATGAGATGAGCGAGTTGCCGTTCAGATTTGAAGATATAGCTGATAGGAGGAGGTCAGCAAATGAACTCTGCGACGATTTTCCAACCTAGAGCGTCAACCTGAGAAGGGTTGTAGGCGTACTGCTGTACGTCCTACAATTCTTCAAAGGGTAGCGCATCAATGAGCAGTCCAATGTCCTTGGTGTGTGATTTTGTACATATGTTCATATTGTACATACTGAATTGATATCATCTGTCATCTAGCTGTTGGTAATTCTGTTTGTGTCTGAACGACTTCCACTTGGATCATCAACCTGAGAAGGAATGTAGGCGTACTGCTGTAAGTCCTACAGTTCTTCAAGGGTAGTTTGTCGTGTCAGAATCCACAACATTTGATGTAGTGATTGTACATATGTTTGTGTTAAATAATTGTGTGAGTTCCAACTATTGTAATTGTTGGTTAATCTTGTTTGTGTCCGGACATTCCACAACTTACAATCGTCAACCTGTGAAGGGTTGTAGGCGTACTGGTGTAAGTCCTGCGATTCTTCAAAGGAATTCCATCAAGATATGATCCGCGAGTTTGTGTGTACTGTTTGTATATATGTGTGGTGTGTCATATCAATTGGTGTTTGTTGGATTCATTGTGTTTACTTGTTGTTTTCGTACCTTGTTTTTATTACATAATTTTGTTAAAATTTTCGTCGTGGTTACTTCTGAAAGTGTGTCCACTCTTCTACATCCGTGAATGAATTGATTGATGTTAAGGACAGCAGATGGGTCGTATACGCCGGGGAGGCTAGGCTATTGCTGAGAATGAAATGCATACGGAGATAATTGTTAGCTGCGGTCCGACACGCCGGGGAGAAGGAGTGTAAACGACTGAGGCTCACATGCGTCACCGCTACTAGAACTGAGGCAGAATGAGTGACAAGCGATTGCAGTGGTAATTGGTAGTGAGTAGATAAGAGGATGTGCGTGGAGTATCATGAGTTTGTGCTATGGTCACGTTGCATTCTGCAAGAGTCATTCTAGCAAGTGGCGATTGTGTTGCAAGATGTCAAGAGGGGGTCTCTGTCTGGAGGCCCAGTTCGTCAGCGATGTGTGAGATTGGGCTGTGGGTATGCTTGTGGTGTGTTGGATTTTCTGTTTGTTTTCCATTTCAGCTCTGTCCGTGTGACCCAGGTTCTCGCAATGGCATCCAAGTCAAAGTGTATTGGTCGTGAAGGAAAAAAGGGTTGGATCCCTATTTTGCCGGGGAGTGTCAATGGAGTTGAAGATTGAACGATCAATTCTTGGTTGTTTGCTCAAAATCAACTTCCCCAATTTTCGCGGAGGCATCAATACGACAGTCATCGTCTCATCGGTCGCTGTTCAGAAAGAAGAGTAAAACATCGTCAGAAGTAATATTATGATTTATTATTGTAATATTTGTTCACAGACCTTAGTCATACTTGATTTATATGTTGGTGTAACAATACAGAATACTCAAGTCAACAGTTGGCGTTTTGGTTTTTCGTCCGTTATTACTAAGCGTTTCTGAGAAACTTCAAGCGACAGCGTGAGCCCGAGCGTAGCAAGAGCTGGGCATTAACGGTTTGCGAGACGTGACTGACAGCCGTCGATTTGGGTGGCTCTGGAAAGTTCAGTATAGCCTTGACCTTAGTAGCCAGTGGGTGAATGCCCTTGGAGTCAATACTGTGACCCAGGAAGTCGAGTGAGTCAACACCTATTTGACACTTTTGAATTTTAATGGTAACACCATCTTGGCGTAACCTTTCAAATGCCAAGTCCAAATGTCTAAGGTGAGTTTCCTTGTCTGAACTGGCAATGAGGCAGTCGTCTAAGTATGCGTATACAAAGTCGAGGCCGCGAAATACTTCGTCAATGAAGCGTTGGAATGTTTGGGTAATCACCGGTGGGTCGCCAACCATCTCTATCCTTTTTCGGAACCATATGAAGTGGGGATGCCCACAAGCTATTCGAAGGTCGAATGATGCCAAGGGTAAGCATATGGTCAAATTCATTCCTGGCTATTCTCAGTTTGTCAGGAGCTAGTCGTCGTGCTTTAGATGTCACAGGTTGTCCTGTGGTAATGATGTGGTGCATAACATTGCTGGTTATGCACGGTAGGTCATTCGACGGGCAATTAAGTTCCGGATACTTGTCAACCACAGGTCGGAAAGTTGGATCAAGAATTGCCTTTATCTTTACGGGTGACTAACTAGGGCCTATGTAGGTGATGCCTTTGATAGACAGACTAGTAGTATTGTCAATCAGTCGTTTTCGGCCGACGTCTACGAGTGAATCATGATGACTAAGTAAGTCTGTGCCAATGGTGGGCGTTGTGACGTTAGCGAGAAGGAAAATCCACCGAATAGGTTTGCGTAAACCTACGTCCAGATAGACGTATTTCCTACGAGAGGTTGCGATTGGTTTTCCATTTGCAGCCTGTAGGTTGAAGGTAGATTCGTTCTGTCAATCTGCTGCTGTAGCAGGAAGGACGCTGACTTCGGCGCCTGTGTCGACCAAATATCGAGTCTGGCTTATCACATCATGGATGTAAAGCAGGCGGCTAGTGCCACCGGCGATGGTTGCCGCTAACGCGTGCCGGCGGGATAGTTTCCCACAGACTTTGAGACATTTCCGAAGATACAAGGCTTACGGCAACACTTCGCTTCTTGGCCATAGGTGTTGTGGTACCAGCACCAGTCAGGGTTTTTCAGAGAACGTGGTTTGGACTGAGATCGACCACGTGAGTTTCTGCGTTGAGGAGATTTAGGACGACGGTCGGAGGAGTTAGAATGCATGTTTGACCCAAACATCTGCTGGATGGAGTTGCATAACTCTATCATTGCAGGATCCTTACTCGAAGTCTGCTTAGTCATCGAGCATATATCGGGAGCTGACCGTTTAGTTATTTCTAGAATCCTATCTGCAGTAATAGCTAAGTCATCTATTACAACACCCTGAAGTGTCACAAGTACGGTCTGTACAGACTGTGGCAGCTTGGTTAAGAAGAATTCTCTAAATAGTCCTTCGTCGAACTGACTTTGGCCAACGACTTCTTTCATTCTTGTCAGCGTGCTCATGGCTGACTTATCTCCTAACTCGATGTTACGAAATTATTCGTCCAGACGATGTCGGTCCGTGGGAACGTTTCTCCTGAGGAGGGATGCTTCGAGCAACTCGTACGAGTTACTTACCTCGGGACTGAACATCTGTGATGTTACGTACTTGCTGAATTCCCGCAGTAGGGCGTGAATAACTGCAAGTAACTGTGAACGTTGATCGGTTATCCCATGCTCACAAAAATCTGCTTCAGCTATCTGAAACCACGTTTCAGCATTATCTGGCCAGTATGGTACGAGCTGAATGGTTTTAGGAGTTGAGTGGATACGAATGACCTTGGGACTGAGATCACTCATGACGAAAATTATGTCGAATAATATATGGTACAAGAACAGATACAAAATGGAACGAACTCACTGGGGTTATCTGCGGATTTATCGTGGATGAAGTTCGCGGTTGGGCTCACCAGTTTAGAGGTTGACGGAACCTCTCATACATCAACTTCTAACTTATTAATTCTCGCGTACCAAAAACAAAGCAAAAGCCAATATTTGATCGTCCAAACTATGTGATATATTTCGGGACCAAAACAAGCCGTCAGACGAACGCTCAGCTGGCTAGCGATCGTACCGTACGTGACACGACAGGGTACCAGATGGCTGGGATGCTGGACCAGTAGCCTTCAGCTAAACAAGTCGACTTAAACAGTGGTGGTCAGCATCCAATGGTGAGTGATTGCTGTGGTCAATAATTTTTGGGAATTATTTACCGCTACATACGTTTTGAGAGGTGGATGAATACATTTAACTGAATTTTCTGAGGGAAGGAAAAAAGGCTTGGGTACGTCTCAGTTATAATCCGACGTATATTTTTAAACGCTTATTTTAGTCACCTGAAGGTAGTATTGAATATCTGTATCCAGGTCGCGCACCACTTGTGTCAAGGTTACCACGCTGAGAAAATACGGAAATAAAACTCTGAAGCTTATCCTTGGTGAGTCCATACTTGGATTTTATAATGAAGTAGGTGGGTAAATGACCGCACTGAAGTCAAGCTTTTTCTGCCCCATGCTCAAACTCTCTTACTCTTTAGAGATATTTTTGAGTAACCTTCATGGAAATTGAGTGGTATTGTTTACATTGTGATGTATATCTTACAAGGAGTTATAACTTCTACTTTTTTTTGCGTTTGGCTTACTTTAACTGATTTAATTAGGTGAAGCACTATTGTTTGCCCACTTTTTTTGACTTTTTGTGTGGTTTTTATATCGCTGTTTTGGCATATACACATATATATGTCACTTTCTGGTGAATGATGAGATGCAGTGTGATAACTGCAACCTATGGTTTCAAAAAGTTTGATCTGGCTTATCACCAGCCTATAAGAGATGTGGCAAGTCATCGTCTACGTGGTTCTGCAGATTTTGCAGCAGCCTGTTGGACGTCCTCATCCAAGAGCCCGTAGGACTTCTCATGACCAGTAAATTGACGAAAATCTGAGACGACGGAAAAAGTTAGCATCTGAGATCGATGCCGGGAATAATTATTCTAGACTGAGTCGTAAGACTGAGACAAAACCACATCCCGAAACATGGTGTTCCAAAAAGTTTGCAGCGGTACGCAAAAAGGCCCCTAAATTTAAGAAGGCAAACAGTTTCAAAATTGTAAAACCGCTGGGTGATACCACAACAACGAGGCGTCTTCTGGCTTCTAGCTGCGGCGAGAGCAAAGAGGAAGATACTAATTCCACTTGGTTTGTGCTGGAAAGCAGGAAGTTGAAAAGCTATATGAAAGAGAAAACGAATGGGTTTATTGATAAGATCTCGATGTTCGCAAATTCTAATATGACTTCAAAACCTTCGAACTCAAATTACACTATCGTAATTTGGAACTTGAAGGAATCGAAGAGAGTAGATCCAGCTGCCCGACATGCTGATGATTTCGAGTTGGTTAGCCCCATTATTCGTTAAGTGCTTTCTGAAAAAAATCGGTAGACGAAATGACGGCGCCACAGGAAGTTCCCAACGACTGCTGAAAATAGTTCTGGGGAATGAAATAGAAAAAAGCATTGTTGTGCGTCGGCGGCACAGTGGTTAGGACTCTCGCCAACCATGCACATGGTCTGAGGTTTGATTCCCTGCCGACGCACAGCTGATATCTATGGTCGGCCTGCAAAATTTGGGCTACCGATATCCATGCTGAAAATTCCATACTTGTACCAAAATACAGTGTGGAATCAAGCTGTAGTAAAAAATTGATCTCAGCAACTCATTTCAGATTAAGGAGAAAGACTGAGAATAAAGCCTGACTGTTCGTTGGAAGACAATTAAAATCAGAGAAGCCGTGGCGAAATCAAAGGCCCGAATAGAAAGGGGGGCAAAAGACCTTAAACTATTGGGGTTTGAGTAGTGGGGTCTCAGAAACCTATGTTGCCTAGATCTCTGCTAGTGTAAACACATAGATCTTTGAGTGTGCTTTAAGAACGCATGTGGTCTTAGGAATTAGCTCCCTGAATTAAGAGTATTATCTAAAAGACTTCAACGTGATGTGATTGCTATCATTGAAACATGGTTGTTAGTGGGTGTAGACTTCACTCATACCTTGGTACATCTGCATTAGAGCAGACAGGGTAATTATTTGGAAAGGTGACAGGGTTGCTCTATATATCCGGGATGACATATGAATCGGATCAACATCAGAAGCGCATGACAGCGGCTCTAGCGAAGCCGCAAGCTGTGTCATGAACTTGAACAATGGCACTCTGACAATTAGGGTTATTTATAGAAATCCTGCTAGCCAAGCTGACGATTTCGTACTGAATCGCCTCAGGACATGGAGTAGTAGAAATATATTTCTAATAGTAGGTGACTTTAATGCCTCTCATATAAATTGGGAGGAATTGACATCAACTATCTTGTATACTTGTTTCAACAGGGAACTCATACTGACAGTGCCTGATTGTGCACTTGTGCAAAATGTACTTGCACCAAAACAACACCACCCTGAACATGATTCGTCCACGCTAGACTTGGTTCTAACACCAGGATGTCGGTGACAATAGTTGCCTTCCGCCACTAGGCAGTAGAGACCATATAGTTATTACTTTTATGTTTAAGATTCATGCTTTCATATACGGGTCAACATCTGCTCGTGTAAACATTTGGAAAGCGGGTATACCTCCAATGCGGAACTCAGCAACCGTAGCTGGCTGGTCAGTTGATACAAATCGGGCTGTCGAGGAAGCTTGGGTGGGATTTAGGAATACACTAGATTGCGTCACTGCACCTTTTAATACCTTGGTCAACTCGTCGAAAACTATCGCATAAATCACCTTGGATTAGTTATGAAATAAGGAAGTTGTTAGTAAAGCGAAAGAACTTATGGGACTGGTTTACTGTGACAGAGGGAGGAGTTTCAGATGGAATACCGCGAGATTCGGAACCTTTGGAAATATCAAATTGAAAAAAGTCATATAGAGTATGAGAGACAGTTAGTACTGGTTTGTGCACATCATCCTGAAAGAATCCTCGTTTATCAAACGTAGGACTAAAACTAGCAGTGGTATATCGTCACAGAGTCAGACGAAGCGAAAGTTGAAAAGCTTGAAATACTTTTGCAATGTCTTTTCGTCTAATCGTACCATTCAAGGGTATAGTGAGGCCGCTGCCGTCGCCACTAAAATGCCCCAATTGTGGTAGAGGACTCAGTAGTTTTCACGCTACAGTCTAAACTAAAGCCAGCTAAATCAGCTGGATCCAATGGACTTCACCCTAGACTGCCAATCTCCTTGGCAGGTATAACATTCCACTCACGGAGGTTTCAAATGTCTCTGACCCGGGGACTGGAAAGATGCAATTGTAAACCCCATCTTCAAAAAGGGGAACATACAGTTAGTATCTAACCACAGACCTGTAAGTCTGACCTGCATTACAGCAAAGGTTTTAGAAACAATCATAAGGGATCAGCTCTTAGTTCATATGGAGAAACGGCTTACTGGCAGTGGAACAGCATGGGTTCCGACCAGAACGATCATGCCTGACAAACTTACTGCTAGTTAGGGAAGATTGGGTCGAATCCAGGAATAAGAACCATTTATTGGACGTTTTCTTTATCGATCTCAGTAAAGTATTCGATAAAGTATCCCATTTAGGTATCATTAGTAAACTCAAAGGTTTTGGATTGGACCAACGCCTATGTGGCTACCTGATGGATAGAAGATAGAAGGTAAGGGTTACTGTCAGGGTGAATGGAGTACCTCAGGGAACTGTACTTGGCCTCCTGCTATTCCTATTATACATAAATAAACTGCTGAAAATTCGTACCTCATACACTATTATTTGCAGACGATATTAAGATATGGAGAACTGTAGATAATAGTGATGATAGGTTGGTACTACAAAACTAGATACATTAGCTGAATGGGCTAGCCTCTGGAGTCTGGAAATTAATTCCAAGAAAAGCGCGGTGATGCACCTAGGTCAGAGGTCATACACATCGTACTCCCTGGGCGACACAGGACTACCAGATGTTAAGGGACAAAAGGACTTAGCAGTTATTGTAAGCCATAACGGCAAATTGTAATGGAGATGCAGTTAAGGCCTTTCGAATGCTATGGGCACCTCGAAGGGCTGTCAAACGACTAGCCGAGGGCACGTTCCAAGTACTCTATGCAACACATCAAGCGTCACCTAGAATACTGAACACAAGCGGTGAGTTTATGCTTCAAAAAGGAGACATATGTCCTGGAGAGAGCACAGAGGATTGAAACCAAATTAGTTAGTGGTATCTCACATATTCCTTATGATGAGGGTGGAGCAGTTAAATCTCTTCCCATTATCATACCGTATATCAAAGGATGATTTAGGGATTGAGCTTTCAAACCTTTTCTCTCCCTCTAGGATATATTTACGAGATCACCACAAGAAGGTACTCAATCCGAGGTTGAATAAAATACGTGTGTATTTTAGATTCTCTCACAGAGTGGTCAACGACTGGAACTCGATACCCAATTCAGTAGTAACAGCTCCATCGGTGGACGCTTCCAAAAAATAATTAGATCTCTGCAGAGATATATATCGCGAGGATTAACATGGGCAACAAGAGACTTCTATCCTTATGATCTGAATCTGAATTGTTCAGTGGGTAGACAAGTTGTTTTGTGTTAACAACATTGCGAAAATATTATGTGCACTTAATGTAACCCCTTCTAGAGTTTCTTGTGTAGATAGGTTTTCGCGAGCAGCGCTATTTGTCACATCAACCAGAGCTAAAGTTAACCCCATGTAACATATGCATATAACTCAGAATACAGTCTATTGTTCGAAAACGTTTATAGGCTAAATAAGTTTTTGTTTGTTTTAGATTAGCACACAAAAGTCATTAGGAGTCATTGAAATAATCCTTCCATATCGTTGCAGCGTAGATCTCGAAAGATGTGTACCAGCTCACCGGCTGAAATAGCACTCACCGACTTCACTCTCTGTTAAAAACATACTTCATTTACTTGAAGGCAGTTGGGCACCCTTGTTCTTGTGGTGTGCAAAGACGAAATGCATCCTGTATAATCCTCGCTTTCGAGATCGCAAGGTTGATGTCGTCTTGCTCGATTTGCTTTATGAGAAAAGCAATGTAACTAAAACTTTGGAAAGTTACATAAAAGAGATAAGGAGTCACCTAGAAATAACGGTATTTACAAACTTATAGTTACCGAACTCGGGGTAAAATTCCTCTTAAGTGCAAATACAACTGTTAACATTCATCGTACAATTGCCCATTGGACATCACAGTAAAGTGGGAAAATCATGGCTAATTTATTATCCGTAGGTTCATACAGTCAAAGTGCTACACTGCCGAGTGTGCAACAGAAACATCTGGGTAGCAATTTTTCTTATTAAAAGTTTTCATTGCGATGGAAAAGTTTCGTTAACGTGATTGACAAACTACTGAGTGTGGACCCAAGGATTCCAGATTTAGAGAAATCAGCGTACTGCTTATCTTCATACTCAGTGCTATAGGTTTAATATTGACTCGTGGTAAGATGCAATGTAGCAATCTGTGACGTTTGGACAGTAGCTAAGCTCTGTTATCCCAAAACTCAAGCATCTAGCACAACCCAGGAGAAATCCTGAATGCTATTAACAATAGTGCACTATCTAACATAGTATGGGCACTGTCGTTATGAGAGTTAGAGCCACTGAACACAGTTTTACAATAGGATATTTCTGTTAAAGTATAAAGTAATTTGGTTAACACTTCCTAGTTCTGCACATTTGAAAAGTATACTAGGAAGTCATACTCATACCATTTTGTGTCTAAGTCTGGAGCGTGTAAATATACCTACACTTCTGAATGTGAATGCAGAGATAAAATCATCGGTGTTGTTATAATGTAGTCAAAAATGAATCCTTCCTTCATTTTCCACTTTTACGATAATACCTAGTTTACTTAGAGCCAGGATAACATTGTCCAAAGAATGGGTGTCACAAACCCTATAATTTTAATAGTATCTTACAATTCCACATGTTTGTGTTTAGTATTCACACATCTTTGAAGATTCATTTGCTTAACATGAACCTGAGCAACCTGTTCGGCTACACCATACACAGAGTGAACAGAGACTCTAGTCCTATGGATTTAAAATTCCAAGGGAAATACACTATATGCTTGTAACCGTTAGTGTTGCTCCTCACAGTTCAGACTCTATGCACACTGTATATAGTTTTGGCTATGGTAACGTCTCGTGTTTCAACAAGAAGTTATTTAGATCGAAATTATTTATTCATACACCAGACAGATTGATCAACCTTTCTCTGGTCAATGGGCTTATCGAACATATTCCTTGATGTTGTCAGGGTTAATAACGGCAGTCAAATGCATCCGCGGAAAACCTCAAGTATAAATAAGCCATTTTAAATTATACTTGTTGCAAATGAGGTGGCTCTTGTGGTTGAATCGATAACGCTTTGGTTTTAGAAATGACAAGTACTGAGTTCGAGTACCACCAGTGGGAACACTATGACTCAGTGGGGAACAAGTTCAGCCAACTAGGGAGTCTCAAATAAGACAGAATGTGTTTCGTGGATTCTACTGCTGTTCACCACTTAAACAACTACAAGCCTTGCAGATCACTGACTGTAGTGAGTGAACTGTTAATGATAGTCTTTGGAAATTTAGATATATAGACAGGAGGAGAATGTTCTTCAGTATGACTGAACCTAAATATATCTGAAGTATTTTACATTCGATTTCCTTCCAGGGACCAACACTTTCTAAGCAACTTCATACAGTTAGTTCCGCCGATAATGCAATAAAAATGACTTTTGCAGGACAAGGTGAATTCGTCGGTGGCACAGTAGTTAGGACTCTCGCCGACCATGTACATGGTCCGAGGTTCGATCCCTTGCCGACGCACACCTGATATCTATGGTCGGCCTGCAAAATTTGGGCTACCGATATCCACGCTGAAAATTCCATACTTGTACCAAAAATACAGTGTGGAATCGAGCTGTAATCAAAAAATAAAATAAAATTTTATTTCATAGGATTTTGTTAGCTGCATACAGCCCGAATAATAAAACGTGAACGATGGAGTTTTGTCCCTGATAATTTGTAGGCTGTCATTAATAGGTGTCAGCACCCCCTTACTATTCATTCGTTTTCCTCGATGAGCAGAGAACACTTTGACGGATACTAACATTTTAACCATTTCAGAGTGCGTTATATATAATCATGAGTTTCTAACGGAAATGACTTGATCATATCAAGCTGTAAGTCTTCCAAAAGAAATTCTCCTACGATGTGATGGTTAACTTGTGTTCTGCCACATCACTTCTCAATACATCGTTTCTGTTAGAAACATTTGTCAAAACCCACCTAACATGTAAGCAGTTATGACTTGTATTAAGAAAACCAAAGTAAATTAACTGGCTTCTAGTCATCAATACTTTGTAAGTGATTGTCTAAATCCCTACGTCATAGCTGCACTAACTTTCCGGTGCATTAGTGATGTGTAAGACTTTATGCTGTGCGTCGGTGACACAGTGGTAGAATGCTTGCCAACCACGCATGTGGTTGGTGTTCGATCACCGGTCGACGCACTCCTTTGCTTCGCTAAGCCATTAATAAGTCTGGTAGAGAGGGAAGGTTGAGCATTAAGCTAGCAATCCCACTCCCTGTAAAAATAAATACCATTGCTACTGAAACTTCAGAGCTCTAGCATGAAGGCGCCCTATATTCCACTGGGAACGTGAAAAGTCTGTATTCTACCTTTCGTGTGTACTGTTAGTCTTTTAGAAGTTGTACTGGCGAATGCATATGCGGAAAGGATATTGTGTTAGTGTCCAGTTGATTACATCTGATTGCGAATTATTATTTTTCTATTTAAACGCATAAAAAACTTAGTACAATATGGTACCAAGAAGGATGCGCCACACAATAATAATAAAACAACATAGATCAAAAGAAACAAAGAAGGAAAAGAAAAAAATAAGTAGAGAACGGATAAAGAAGTTCATCTGGAAGGAAAACAGTCATGCTTAACAAGTTCAAACAGTATTCGTTAAATATCTTCGGGAAGTGGAGAAGGAATAAAATTGCAACACGTTCGCCATTGATTACGATTCTTGGCCATATCCGATAACATTTCGAGCCATCGATTCGAGCTATCTCTCGGACCCCAACCAGGGAGTTGTGACACACCAACCGATGCTAATCTAGCACAAAAATCCTTCATCTCACGACGCCACGTCATGGACTGACCACCTCTCCGCCTTTTCCATCCCGTCCCAGAGCTAGCGAACAGAGACCTGTACGGAAGCCTCTGGGATGACATTTGCAGCACATGTCCAAGTCACCGGAGGCGGTGTTTCCAGATGACGACACTCAATGAATGGTGATCTCCACTGTGTTGAGACACGCCACCGAACCTCAGAATTACTCACGCGATGATGCCATCCATCGAACGCAAGCAATCCTGCGGAGACAGCGATGATCAAAAACGCAGAGTCGCCGCACATCTTCAGCTCGGAGAGACCAGGTTTCACAGGCGTAGAGCAAGACAGCCCGCACCGAAGCATTGTATGCCCGACCTTTGACAGCCAGGCTAACATCGCGACGGCGCCATAGGTGGCCCAAGTTGATGTATGCCACCCTAGCCTTCATTATACGGTTGGAAATCTCATCCGTCACCCCTCCGCCAGCACTCACACAACTACCCAGATACACAAACTTATCAACAACTTCAAGCGGTTCACCCGCAAGAGTGAGTGCAGATACAGGCTCCTGCCAATCTTGTAACTTCTTTGCACTTAAACGGCGCAAAGCACATACCGTACAGACACTGATCGCCAACTGATTAAGTGCGATTTCGGCAGCCTACATGCTATCGCACAGTAAGACGAAAAATACCTATTCTCAAATCTGTCAAATTAGTCATCGAATTGGTCAGATTAGTCATCCAACTACTATATTTTTGTATACCGCTCTTGAGTGATTCTAAGTCAAGTTTTGTCATTACTTATTTTTAATATCTCATGACCTAAGGTGACCTACACCTGTTTATACCTCACATCTGTATTGATGATCTCGTCATCATGGATTTAGAGGTAGGGAAGTGCTATACCACTGGTTCTTTTCATTGATAACTAGGCGTGTTGTCAGTGCCACAGGTGGAGTAAGTTGGCAAGTGATTAATGCGACCGATCCCATATCCCCTATGAAAGTTGTGCTCGAAACGTCATCAGTAAACATTACTGTATAACGCTGTGAGACTTTATCAAAACAAAATTTACCCATAATGGAATTACACTCTACCACAGTGCACAAGTTTTATTCTTATATCTATGAAAGTTTGACGCTGAAAATACCCAGACTTCTGAATGCTGCCTAGTGACTATATGAGTTGCGGTTTTCATTTCCTCAATGCAAATGACTGCTCACAAAACTAGTCTGTTATCAGTACTTCAGTGAATACTAAGTGGGGAAGCAATTCAATTCGTTGAGCGCTCAAGATGTAACACGTTCGTAAAGGAATCCTAAAGCTCGGTTCCTCAAGCTGCATAAGTTATAGTAACAATTGGATATCCAAATACCTACTTAAAATTAAGTGTAGTACTCTGCAGGATGTTCAAACCTATTGTGTAAGGTCATGATCTAAATTGCGTTAGCCTAGTGGACGCCGTATTAACCCCCGCTCCCACTTCCAAGAACATTAAAGTCTATGTTAAAGTCTTGTAGTTAGTTTACCTTTCATCACTGACACAGTCATTTTCATTATTTATTGATTTTTTACCAGGTCTCCAATACTCGGCTATGTATAGATTTTCTCAACTTATTGACTCGTCTGAGCTTCGTGAACAATTTGTTGATTTGAAATTGAAGTCTGAGTCAAAAACAGTGGAGGATGATGATGATAAATGTTCACGTTCGACTATTACAAAATCTAAGAAAGGAAAACATCGCAATACTTCAAAGAATCTAAGAGAGCCTGGCAAATCATGTAATTCTGACAGTGTTTTGAAAGGTATGTTGTTGTACTAGCTTTTCTTCAGTTACACATTTTTTTTGTAAATGGCATTTCGACCGTTTAATGTTCATATCTCAATTGAGTAAAAATCATAAACCCCACACCCCTAATGTTGTCAAAACTTAGAATCAGTCTACGAAGTCTGTAGTAGCTGGTTTGAGCCAGTCACGTAGTGAGGTGTAGACTGCCAGACTAGTTGGTGTCTTCGAGATGCTGAGAATCAATAGCTGGATACTATTGATGATATTTATTGCTCAAAATTGTTCTCAATGACACAGATGAATATACTCTTTGTAATTTCCTAAATCCATTAAATCCTTATTTATTGTCCACCCATGTGATTATTCTTTCTCGTGTACATTTCTGTACATCTTCACTTAGTCGTATTCTCTGCTGTCCTCTTCAGCTAACCCTTTGAGTCCCCGCAGTGTCTCCTCTCTTTCTCCCCAAGTGACCTCCATGTCATACTCAGACCCACGCACAACTTGCTGTTTCCCACTTTCGGTCTACTCGAGTGATGGATTGGTGCGTGACGTCGTTTGACGGTTCTTCAGCAGCGCCTGTCCAATTATTCTCTATCTCGATGGGCGTATTTGTTGAGTAATAGGTTCTTGATTGGTTAGTTTTCCGAGTTTCTTGTTGCTGATTCTTTGGGCAGCTAGTCATTTGACCCTCGGCATGAAGCCAGTGAAGGCAGCTGTTGACGAAAGTCTTCTGAAGCCTGTTGGAAATGCTCATAACAATAACATAACATAAGCTTTATTCCAAATCAGTACTTGTGATACAGAATGGAATTCTCAGCATTTTACTACAATATTGCATCCAGTTTTTTACATTAACAATAAATAAAGTTCTACATAGTTTAAAGTTATCTCAACAACATATTAGTATGTCGGTAGCAAAGCCAAAATTAAAGTGTTTGAAGGTGTTAGAAAAGTAGATACTACTAGCATATTTACTGGCGTAAGCGATAGCAAAATGTTCGAGATGTACAGAGTGTGAAAGAACGAACAAGAATGTTTTAAGTAGAGTTTGCAAGGAAGAGAGAAACAAAACAGCACATAACAAAAATAAATACAGAATGAAGAGCGAGAAAACGTTGTACCTATAAATGATGTGAGTTGGAAAGACGAGATCCATTGGTTCTACTGACTATTTAATAAGTTAAAGGTTTCATGCCTGATGCATTCTTTATCGCACAGAACACGGGCTAGGTAGGGTATGGATGAGTTTTTGTACTTACTAGTGCGGGCATATAGTTTCCTATATAGGCTTCTTGTTTTCCCTGAAGAGATACATGGGGAGAGTTGTGAATGTAGAGGGTGTTGTGAGTCAGATAAAATGGATTTCGCCCATTTTTCACATGAGTCCATATGCCTGTCCACCAGAATATTAACTAGCTGGCTAAGTGGCAAACTGCTTACCCTGCTGACAACCTTTAACATCCTACGTAATAAGGTATAGTCTTTCTTCAATAGCCCAGGAAAGACTAAGGGGGAGCAATAGAGAATAATAGGCAGAATACGGGAGTTAACAAATTGTAGGAGTAAGGGTTGGGTTACACCAGAATGTCTTAACTTCTTGATGTAGAAGGTAAGACGGTATATTTTCTTGGAAATCGTCAAGATATGAGACGACCAGGAAAGATCAGAAGATAGAGTGACGCCTAGGTATTTAATTTCCGACTTGGTTTCTATTTCACTGCCATCTATGTTGCACACCTCGTGAGTGCTAACCAGTTTGTTTAGGTCAGATTTATGCCTAAGGGTGAAATTAACTGTTTGGCATTTGGAGGGGTTTAAGGTTAGACCGTTTTCCTTGGACCATTGGCTAATTTCCGATAAGAAGCCATTTAGTTTAGAGCAGTCACTTTGACATTTGACAGGTAAAGATACAGTTAGGTCATCAGCATATTTGACAAAGTTAATGTCATTTGAAGACGGTAGGTCATGTAGAAAGAAAGAAAAGAGAAGTGGGGAGAGTACAGCACCTTGGGGGACACCAGCTTCTGTGAGCACAGCAGAGGAGGATTGGCCTTTGTATACGGTGTACTGCATTCTGTTTGAAAAGTAGGAATGCAACCAGTTAGTGACCCAGGACTCGGTTTGTGTCATGGAGAGCTTATTTAGCAAGAGACTTCTAGGTACAGAGTCGAAAGCAGAAGTAAAGTCAAGAAACGTGCAGCGGACATATTTGGCACCTTTGTCTAATGATGAGATAATACTGTTGTGTAAGACGGCTGCAGCGTCTAAAGTACTCCTACCCTGTCTGTAGGCAAATTGTTTGGGGTCTTCGAAGCTTTTAAGGGAGGGTTCATGGTAACGAACACTCCGAGTTTTTGATCCATATAGAAGATATGACTGACCGACTAACTTAACATTGGAGTTGAAAATCCGGATCTCGTCGTTTATGCTGAGGCGGAGTGCAGAAGACTTCCGAACTGATTTCAGAGTGAGAAGCGTCTCTCTTGACTGTCTAGCTTAGATATTCTCACTCGTGCTCTCCGCTTGTAGTTGAAAGGATGGTGTCTAGCCAGATAAGTGAAGGAAGTGACGTCTTTGAAATCCTTACTGCTGATGGTGATTGATTTTTGTTGGTTTTGTTGTTGGTTGGCTACTTTCATCATTTCCGTGTTCTCTACGTTCGCTTGAAGTTTTGTCCTTGCTGCCTGACATTCTTCTCAACCTGTTGGTTTTCTCCTGTGGATCTTTGAGTTTTTGTGAGATTAGACATAAATCATCTGCGAAATCACGATCTTTTAGAGTCCTCTTATCGGTCCAACATATTCCTCTGTTCTCGCTTCCCGCAGGCGGTCTTCCGCATGATGCAGTTCACTACAATCCGGATTATCCTCATCAGTGATTATATAGGCAGCCAGTTTTATCTTACTCCTTGTTTCTGCTGTGGACCACTTGAGATGTGGCATTGTCATATAGCTGTGGTTGATTGAGGTCGATGAATATTTGTATTTGGGGTACTGTACGGCACTCCATAGTGCTGGAGTAGTTTCCGAATTACTCTGTGGTCAACATTGTTGAAGGCCTTTTCAAGTTGGATGAAACTGAGGCAGAGGTTTGACTGCCTGTGCTCATTGCAGTTATTTTCAATCCCTTTTTGTTGTCGTTTGTCTAACTTTGTGTGCTACATGCGGTGTGGGGTAGTTTGAACTGCTGCACTTCTCTACAGGGTTCAGTTAGTCTAAACCCTAGTCCATTAGTCAGTGGTTCGAATCTTCTAGAGACCCGTGTTTCTTCTCATTATCATAATCACTTATTGCATCAGTGTCATTATCAATGTGATTTGAGGAAATCTGACCAAAACTCATTGGTTAAATCTCTTGAAAACTACGTAGACTATACCTTGAGTGATGCTAAATGCTTAACATCCAACCAGCTATCACTGGCAGTTATAAAGAAGCCGTTAAATACTGAGGTCATCTTACAAACGACACCTATTTAAATGCATCTATGTATATGTACATTCGATGTTAAGCTGTATCTGTAGTGAAATTTTATGGGAAGCTAACTCGTTGCCATTCCTCCCTCCCCCGCAAAATTCCTGTAATCTGTTTGGATTTTCAGCTTGTGGCAGGGAGTCCTGACATATTGTCCCCAAAGCATGCAAATACATTTTGACTGCAGTTTTATGAGTATAGGCATGGAAAATTCCCATGTGACGTGAATCATAAAAACATAACTCATCAAAGAGATCTCAGTTTGTAACTTCTCAATCCTCGAATCTGTACTGCTGTTGTTTAGGGGTTTGTTTCATGTAGAATGTTAGTGCGTTGGTGGCACAGCGGTAGATGTCTCGTCGACCACGCAAATGGTCCGGGGTTCGATCCCCGGCCACGGATGCACTCCTTTACCTTGCTAAACCAGTAGTAAGACTGGTAAAGAGGGAAGGTTGAGCATGATGAGACTGGCGATCCCATCCTGTAAAAATAATCACCACTGCTACTGAAACTTCAAGCCTCTAGCTTGAAGCCGCCCTATGTTCCAGCACTGGGAACGTAAAGGCATAAAAGAATGTACAGTGTTAACTAGCAGCAAAGGTCAAAGGTTACTGTCAGTTGGTAACAAAGATAAATCGAGGTGCATTAGCTATAGTAATGTGTGAAAAATAGGTAAGTAACTCCGAGTAATCGAGAAAGTTGACATCGAATTGGTTGGTCATTCGATAAATATTTATTTCCGCTGTTCACCTTTATCTGCTTAAGGGAATCTGTGTACTACTTAAGTGGTTTTATTGACTCAAGTAACTTGACTGTTGGTGTGTGCATCGAATAAGTATATCAACAAGCTAATACTGAGGTACATATTCAACGTCCAGTTTTATATTCAACAGCTAAATATACTGACAGAAAGATGGTGTACAGGTGGGCTCTTCACCTGGTCCTTTATTCTCTGATTGACTGCTTCGTGGCATAGCTGATGTCGAATATCTTCTAATCGACTATCCATTCTTTCAGAGTTTACAGGTGTTACACATAGAGACAATATCTTTCGTATTGTCGATGTAAATATTGAGCTAAGTATAAAATCCTGGATATCTTTAACTGGTGTTTTCATCGATCAGTCGATTTTAAAAATGAGCTTCATTCAGGTGGCAAAATTGTCCTTCTTAGATGTTAAGTTTTCAAGATGAACAGATGAATCTGTAGGAAGATAATTTTACCACAAACCAGAATACAATAGATAGCTGACAAACTTACACTTCTGTTTCAGAATCCTGAAGAGGAAGAAGAAATCTCATCCCCTCTCTTGCGAAGAAACTCTGTCGCATATCCACTGAATATACATTGAGTAAGGGATTCCAGTCCTGCAGAAACACTAACCAAAAAATGAATATTCAACCTCTTGCATCGATAAACACAATAAGAAAGATTAATGCTCCGCAAAACCTGGATGTGCTGAAAATAAAACCCCAGCTAATTGCACATCTAAAATGCAATAACTGGAAGTTTTTTGAAGCTGTCTGTCTGTCGAGAGCAGTTCAGAGAAGAATGTCCTTCTTACGCATGCTGTTGTTCGCATAAACGTCAAAGACAGATGAGACTCCGTTGTTGACAGTTTTATTGTTTATTTACCAGTTCACTTGCTTTATTGGGTTCATTTATGTAAACTGTACCAGCAGAAAGGACATTGCCTAAGTGCTCTGATCAATACCTACCATTGTGGTTGTCGAATGGAGGTAGGTGGGACTAATCATGCAACATCAGCATCGAATTCATCCAGACTCACGGCTATCAAAAGGATTTTTCTTAAATCTTCAGCAACTGAGGCTGTTGACATTCGTAAATAAAAGCCTGAAGTTTGTGTTTGAAAATGTTTTATGCTCTCTACCTCTCTCTTTCTCTTTTACTGTCATTGGATTAGTGTCAGTCTTATTAATTTTTGAATTTGTTGTAGAATAAACCCTGTAGTTTATTTCGTGTTTAATTCTCAACTATATGTACTCTCGTTTTCTATCAGTTATTTCGAATCAACTATTCATCATTATGTTGTAACAACAGAAGACAAGGGCCAGGAAACAGATCCTTTATTTAGGAAATCAACACATATTTATAGATTTTCATGTACATTACTATAGATTATTGTAAGTAAACAAACAGTCTTCTGATTGGTGGTTTCTCGCTGAATGTTAATCTTTCATCTCTTTGTCGCCGTTTCTTGAAGTTCAGATTATCTATATGAAAATTGTATCCGTCTACGCAAACAAAGTCTGCTGTGATTGGTTGTTAAATCAGTCTTTGTTCTTATTTTTCTCATGACCAGTATATTGGGGACGTAAATATTGACGTAAATTACTGTCTACCACTTTTGGCTAGCAGTCAGCTCTCGTCACAATGTAACTTAGCTGGCTAGTTGTTAACTTTCTTTATTACCTAATGGTTATTCATATTGAATTGGTTTTGTTAATAACTGACAGTAAGCTCCTACCTCTGTTGATAATCAAAATTGTACACTGACATTGGCTACTCCCAGCTGCGCTCTATCGTGAATTGACAGAAGTTGGAATTTTTGGGCTGACCATTAGATCGGGTTCTAGTGGCTTTAATGGTCTACAAGCTAGCTCGCCTTGTAACCAGAAGGTCTTGGGTTCCAACCACGGTGGTGGGTGCATACTGATTGCTGAAGAGTTCCAAACTAGGCTGACGAAACAACTGACTTTCCAGTACTCCCCGGTGGCTCTGTAACTAATGTCAGCTCATTCTGAAACCCTGTAACTAACGAAACCCCTGCAAACAAACACTTAAAAACACCTGTACAGATAGATTGGAGTGGGATAGAGGAGTTGCGAAATGAGATCCCTTTTGTTTGCTGACTTACGAATGGTTCCTTTTGGAACTAAAATTGATTAGTCGAAGATGAGATTAGATAGTTTACTGAACACATTATCGATTGATCTTTGCTGTTTGTGAACACACCAATGAAAGGGCTAGACACGTCACACTAGTTACTAGTGTCCAATCAAAATACCCACTACAATCCCACAGGAGGTCAATCACGAGCCCGAATAGCTCAGTGGTAACGTATCTGACTGCAGCACTGGGTGACGCGGGTTTGAATCTCAGAAGGGACATGAGTTCCTTTAAGGTTGCAGATACGCCTTGCTGATGAATGCCAACTAGCACGAAACCTAGGTCAAATGAGGCTTCCTGCCGATTGCCCCCAATTATCTAACACTTATTTCAGTTAATTGTGTGTACACTGGATGAACACTGAGTAGCTGGTCAGCTACTCAGTGTTCATCATTCGACTTGTATTTCTCCCCCTCCCCCCATCAGCTGTTCATTTATTTGACAATTTTGTGTTTTAGACAGTGGTGATGTTACAAAGAATGAATACTCTCACCTCCACCTTGAACCGTGTGGATTTCGTAATGTTAGAAATTCGTGTTTTCTCAATGCTTCACTACAATTGTTGCTGAATATTCCACCTTTATGTACAGCTGTAAACAAATACACGAATGTGTCGATCAATAATGATGGTGTATCAAACACTAATGACAACAAGAAGACACCATTAATCAATCAATTGTAAGTTATTAATACTGACTGTTTTTGCATTGTTTACGTTGTACATGACAGTGATGAATCGGGTCCCAGTGGCTGAATGGTATACGAGCTAGCTTGCCTTGTAACCGGAAGGTCCTGGGTTCGAACCCTGGTAGTGGGTGCATACTGCCCATGATTCCCAAACTGGGATGAAACAGCAGCTGTCCAGTACTCCAGTGCTGGTTTTCAATGGTTCTCTAACTGATATCAATCCGTGATCAACTCGGAATAGACATAACTAACCCTTACAAACCAAACTATAGAAAACTAATCCGATGCTCGCTAGTGACTTGCTACAGGATGCAGTTTCCTGGAGTCAGTTCTACTGAGAAGTCGTGACCAGTGAGGTCCAATTAGATGTCACGTGCGTGGATGGATGTCCCACCAACGACAATGGTTGGGGTCGGGCTAAATCACGGATTGGTAGAAGTTAGAATTCATGAACTGGCCATTGAATCGGGTCCCTGTGGCTGAATGGTATACGAGCTAGCTTGCCTTGTAACCGGAAGGTCCTGGGTTCGAACCCTGGTAGTGGGTGCATACTGCCCATGATTCCCAAACTGGGATGAAACAGCAGCTGTCCGGTACTCCCTGGCTGGTTTTCAATGGTTCTCTAACTGATATCAATCCGTGATCAACTCGGGAAAAACATAATTTATGTGTAATAAATGGGTAGGAAAGTTCCAGAATAATTTCTGGTTAAGGGTCAGATTAATAGAATTACAATTAGGAATTAAAATGCCATAATAAACAGGTGGGGGGGTGAGGAATAAAGCTCCGACAGAGTAGCATCATAATTACTGAGAAGATTGACACTGTGCAATTAGGGGCTAGAAATGTAGAAATAACAAAAATAGACAGGATGTTTGGGTAACGAAATCTTGTGGGATCATAACTAATGTGACGAATAATTGTTTAGGCAATCAGGGATTATATATGTAGAAATAATAAAGTAACAAAATAGACAGGAAGTTTGGATATGAAAATATGATAGTGTAAATAGGGATTAAGAAAAACTCAAAAATAACATGAATAAACAGCCAGTTTCTATAAGAAAGTCAGTGGGATAGTCACTATTAGAAGAATTACCTGTTTATGATGGCCACGGCAGGGACAAGGGTTGAACGTATTTCTTTTTGGATATATAGTGTGGGTTTGAGCTTTTGAATGGCTAGCACCTTGGCTATGTCCAGATGTCTTAATTTTACTCCCTTTGAGGGGTTTGATCGAATCCTGCATATTATGTTGAAGGATTTTTCGAATGGGGCTGAATGTCCTGAATTGACCAGATGTTCTGTTACTGAACTATATACCAGTTTTCGTTCTTCTTTTACTAGCCAGACTGGATAGTGTTCACGAGCGCGTTTTTCAAGTTGGCGCATGGTACGGCCGATGTATTCAGCTCTGCAAGGGCAAGTAAACTGGTATATGCACGTTGAAGTGGCCCAATGCGACAGCTTGTCTTTCGCGTTCTGGTTGAACAGTTTCTTTCAGGAAAACGTGGTGACTGATGTCTTCCTCAGAGATTTCCAGAGGCGTTTACGAAGGATTTCTGCTTTAATGTCACCTTTGAATTCTAGATTAAGCAGAAGTATCTTCTTCGGGACGAATTGGACTTGTTCGAAAGTCTTCTTCGATTTGAGATTCTTGTCTATGAACCTAGGCGGAAAACCGTTTTCCATCAGGGTTCTTCGGAAATTACTCAGTTTTTCATCAATCACCTCCTCACTGCATATCTTCCGACAACCTCCATCTCTACAAGAGATACATTGATGATACTTTCATCATTTGTGATGAGAACCTGGACCTTGAAAACTTACTTCATACATTCAACAATGCCCACCAAAACATGGACTTTACTCTTGAAGCCGAATCCGATAGAATGTTCCACTTCCTCGACGTTCATCTGACAAGAAACGCCGGCAACTCTCTGAAAAGCCCACATGAACTGGACAAGTCATCAACTTTCAAAGCTTCGTGCCCCTAAGCAGAAAGAGGGACCTGATATACTCTCTTTCCTCGAGGAATCGGAATATATGCAGCTTGGAAGTGATTGACGAAGAACTGCGTAGTCAGTATAATAAAGGAGTCTCATATATCCGTGTGTGTGTACACTCCAGGATTTATGAAAGTTCAAAACTTGATTGACTAATTTTCATGTCGTTACTTGGTTTTCTTGCCATTTCATAAAGTTGAATACGTTTTTTACAACAAACAAAAAGTGTTTTGAAATCATTAAATTTCGGTAGAACTCTTCAACTGAATACGCAACATACAAGGGTACCAAAGATACCATTAGGAAGTGGAAGTGTGGTTGTTATTTCCCGACTGCCCATACCGTGGAAGTTGATTGATTCTTCGAGTACCTGAAACAGAGATAGGGTTAGTGTTGTGTGACCGCAGAGCCCAGGGGATAGCTGCTTGAGGCCGGTCACACATGAACTGTTTTCTTGGTTTGGTTCCGTATTAGTAAACCTACCGCCGGTTACGGACCACTGTAGGGTAAGTCGGGATGTACAATTTTTGGGGTCGGCCTTTTCTAACCTCCTCTCTCCGGAGTGGAGAGACAGCACAGCTGGCTGGCATGCTGGTCATCTGAGGGAAACACCTCACTGCTGTTACGCCCCTGTTCCCCAGCAGTACGACTTCGCCCTCAGACCCCCAGCATAGTGTAAGAAAGATTCTTACATAATGCCGGTAACTGCTTTTAGTCTAATCGCTATCCTAAAAACTTTTTGTGGCATAGTAGGACCTACAGGATCATTGGTTCCAGCCAGTGTAGCTTGTTGGGTCATCACGATGTCCAAGCCCGACCACCACGTCAAGGTAGCAGCTATCGGTCGCGAAAGATACCATTCTAATTCTAAAGATACCATTAGAATTACATTGGGAGATATAAAACTGATAAGCAAACTAACTAACTACTTTGAATTAATCATCGAAAACGAGACACATGTGAGTGTTTTTCAGGTCATGTTCAAATAAATAAGGTGAAGTGAGTATGAGAGATTAAAATTAAGGTAAAGTGTATCACGGCTCAATTACATCACTTAAATAAACAGTTTGTTATCCGAGAAAGAGCTTAAATATATCAAGCGCTGCGAAAAGAATAATATTAATGATAATAATAATAATAGTAATAACAGTTAATAAGTAAAACATTACCATGGTGGACCACCATTTGCTTTGGTGCACAGACACCTGGTTTATAAACTCTAATTGTACAAGACTCCTCCACAATTGCCAGCATCTTCCTGTTTGTTTATTCATCCATCTGTTGACGACAGTGAATGACTTCACAGAGTCAATATCATCTCCGTAGTTTACAAGATGCTTTGTTATTGAACTTTTAGGTACTTTGACTTCAGGTGTTTTCAACCACTTTCAACCAAGTGCTCCATCAATAGCCTTTCTGTATGACCTATGTATTTGTTTCCACAAACGAACCCATCAAATTGATATAGGCAGTTTGAAGTGTCGAGGACTGGCAACTGATATTTCCCAGATTGTTGGAGCACCCGCTTGATGGTGATGTTAAGGAAGAAGTGGTTTGGAGCATAATAAGATCTCCTGAGAGCTTTGTGGAGTTTGTGTTTGATTACCTCTTGTACACATCAACTCCTTTGATCTGAATGACAAATTGATGTAGACAGATTTCTTTGGAACTGTTTGGATGGTATTACTGGAGCTTATTTCTTTAGAGTATTTATTAATGGACTTCTCAGGATTTCCATTCTTAGTTATAAAATATCCTTCAGAGTTTCTATTTCATGTTGAGTTATACTGTCAGAGCAGTGTTTTCGTGCTCTATTGAACAGTGTTTTGACTAAGTTCCTTTTGATGTTGGATTGGAAAAAAACTTTTGGAATGTATGTACTGTTCCGTCTATGAAGACTTCCTAAATATAGATTTTTCCGTTGTGTCATCAGTGCTCCTTCACTTGAGAAACATCTAGGAATTTAATGGTATCATTTTCCTTGTGTTCTATTGTGAAGTTAAGACTCGGATGACATGAGTTAAATTTGTGTCGGTAGGTCTTCCTTCAGCTTTTGATTTGCCTTCATTGACAATAAAAGTGTCGTCGACATATCTTGCATATCATTCTAGTTATCGTATATCCTGTTGCGAAATACCGGCTTCTTCTAGACTTGGCAAGAATTAATCTGTAAAAAGTGGTTGCTAGAGGCTTCCCATTGCAACACCATCAACTTGGCGGTAGAGACGCCCATCGAATTGGAATTAAACGTTATCGGTACTTAAAAGGAACAATTTTCATTTTTATGGGGAGTTGTCTTGCCTTGTCATATTACGCGTAACTTGTTAACATTATCACGGATAATTTCGATCTTATTCTCAGCATTTTGCTCCATCCTCCTTTATGACTATGATGGGGGGCATTGTGGCCATTAAATGTGGAAGACATGAAAAGCCGAGCTAGTTGTCTTTGATCATAGCTGTCTGCGTTCTACCCTTGCGCCACACAGTTGTATGAGGGCTGAGATACTGCCCGGGCGCCCAGACCGAAGCAGGTCGTTGTCTTAAGGGACCACCCCCCGAGCCTTCAACTTAGAGTCTAATCCGCAAGGCAGCGGAACAGCATCAGGAGCTGCATTCCCATGGTTTCCGGTGACCCACGTGAGTTCATACGCCATTTGATCCGATTGGATTCTGGAGCCCATGTACCCCATGTTAACTGCTTTTAGTCTAACCGCTATCCAAACAACTTTCCTGATATGGTAGGACTTGCAGGGACATGAGTCCCAGCCAGTTTAGCTTGTTGGGTCACTGTGGTATTCAAGCCCGACCACCACGGCAAGGTAGCAGTTGTCTGCCGGGACATCGATTGCGATAGATGGTTAGGACATGTGTTACGCGCTGGGAAGAGTTAGTGGTGATCACGCGAAAACATGGCATCAGTTCCTGATGTCTTTTGCAGGTAGTTTAATCCATCTGCCACGTAAGGAGGTGTAGACTGACAAACTGGTTGTGGTTCTTGGGATATTAAGAACTCATGAAGCCTGGAGACGACTGGTGATATGGCTCAATATCGTTCTCAGTGGCGCAGAAGGATTCACTCTCTGTGATCTGCAATATTCAAAAAAACTCTTGTTTTTCTCCCTTATATTTCTTTTGTTTTCTTTTATGTGCTTCATGCGGAGTGTGGCGACTTGAACTGTTGCACTTCTGTGCAAAGTTCTGTGTTGAAACCAGTCAGTCAGTCAGTCAGTTTGTGTGTAGTTTTATTGTTTATCCGTGTTTTAAATAGTTTTCTTACATATCCGTGATTGTTATAACGTCGTCACTCCTATCACCGCATATGATTAATCCATTTAATGTCGAAAAACAAAGTCGAGATTTCAATTAGTTGTTATTATTATTATTTTTTTTACTAGTTGATCATGGATTGATATCAGTTAGAGAACCATTGAAAACCAGCCAGGGAGTACTGGACAACTGTTTCCTTCTAGTTTGGGATTCATCACCAGTACGCACCCACCACCACCCGGGTCCGAACCTAGGACCTTCCAGTTACAAGGCAAGCTAGCTCGTATACCATTCAGCCATTGAGACTCGATTCAATGATCAACCCATGAATTCTAACTTCTACCAATTCGTGATTTAGCGCGACCCCAACCATTGTCGTTGGTGGGACATATATCCATACACGTGACATCTAATTGGACCTCACTGGTCACGACTTCTCAGTAGAACTGACTCCAGGAAACTGTATCCTGTAGCAAGTCACTAGCGAGCATCAGATTAATTTTCTATAGTTTGGTTCTCTAACTGATATCAATCGGTGATCAACTTGTAAAAGCATAACTAACCCTTACAAACCAAATGATAGAAAATGTTATTACTATTATTGATCATTATTTATTACTTTTATCATAATAGACTCGAACTAATAGACCAGTTGAAGCCCCACACAGAAGGTAATGATACCACTGCGCCCCCCAGCATCACCACCACGATGACAACAACAGCAACAAATAAGTGTCGCCAGCCTCGTGAATCGCCATCGAATAAAACAAAAGCTCGTAGTAATGTTGATGTTGTTGCAAGCAACTCGATTTCTTCCAATTCTAAATTGTCCAATCACGGAAATGGTGTACAACCCTACGCATTAAATCATTCGCTTACATTGAATCCAATCTTTGCACAACTACTTCATATGGATTCAGGTGTTCAAGAAGATACTGCTGTAAGTGATGACGATTGTGATGAATGTATTCCTTGTGTATTGCTTCTTTTATTTCTTAAAAAAAAAACCAGTCTAACAGACAGGGTTGCTTGCCCTCAGCTAGTAGAGGAAGTTTTTGGTTTGTTACTTAAGTGAATGAATGTCATTCTACTTATTTATTTTAAAAGTAGTCAATTTATACAAACATTTATTTTTAGAAATATTCCCTTAATGATAATTATAGAACAGACAATTCAGTAAATTCTCATCAGGCTTCACATTTACATCATAGCCAATTGAATTAATGTGGTTAATAAAATTTGTAGGATTAGAGTTTAGGGATGTCAATTTAGTGGATAACAATCAAGGTGATCACAATAATAATCTAGGTAGTGTTCGCTGCATAGGTAGAATGTGTATACTAACTAGTAGGGGTAGACGGGTAGATAACTACTGTCGCATAGCGATAAATTGTGAAACAGAGATTGAAACGTACAAATACAGCACAACATGATATTGATAATACAGTTAGCACTACAAATAAAATAAAAATATAATGAGATAATATGCACAGTTATTAGGGTGTTACTGGGAGAGATAACTAGTTTAAGGTGAGGGCGAGGACCAACAGAGGGAGCATTGTCCAAAGTGGTTAGGTAAAGGAGTAGTGAAGTCAATCAGAAGTTGTTCCATACTGGCACACCTAGTCGACACAGAGCTTAAGATTGACAAAAATTCAGCTTTTGGGATTCTATACAGGGTGTCATCTCAACTCCTTAGCTTGGTACGTCTTCGTTGCCATGCGTAGCTGAGGCAGTTGTCATAAGGATTTTCCAACCCACTCTCTGTGTTCAGAAACGGATTTTGTTCACTCTCTCTCTCTCTCACACCCTTGGCCTTCATCCCCAACCTAACATAGTTATCTCTCCCGGTGACACCGGATAACTCAATATTATTTTATTATATTTTTATTTTATATTTTATTTGTAATGCTAACTGTATTATCGATCTGTCTGTCTGTCTGTTTTCGACATAGAACTTTGCACAAATGTGCGCCAGTTCAAGTCGCCACACTCCCTCCTTGTATTATCGATATCATGTAGTGCAGTAGTTTTACATTTTAGTCTGGGTTTTACAATGTATCGCTATTATTATTATACTACCTAATTGCTATGCGACAGTAGTTATCTACCCGTCTACCCCTACTAGTTAGTATACACATTCTACCTATGCAGCGAACACTACCTAGATTATTATTGTGATCACCTCGATTGCTTTCCACTAAATTGACATCCCTGAACTCTAATCCTACAAATTTTATTAACCACATTGATTCAATTGTCTGTAACCAATATTTGGTTGTGTAGATGTAAAGCCTGATAAGAATTTACCGAAAATACGTATTTGTTTGCTTAAATCGTGTGTTCTATAAATATTTATTTATTTCTATAGTTTGGTTTGTAAGGGTTAGTTATGTTTTTACGAGTTGATCACGGATTGATATCAGTTAGAGAACCATTGAACCAGTGGGTGCGTACTGCCGGTTATTCCCAAACTAGGATGAAACAGCTGTCCAATACTCCAGTGCTGGTTTTCAATGGTTCTCTAACCGATATCAATCCGTGATCAACTCGTAAAAATATTTATTTAAATGATTCAGGAATTAAATTTATGCACCCACTTATAATACACTAAGTTGTGAGTCATTTGTAGGTGAAGAATCAGATGTGGCGCTCAATCGTGAGGTGATTTTGCCGACTCATTATTCTGTCTCCGCGTGGTTAAGTGATGAATAAGCACACACTTGGGTCTTGCATGCATTTCTCTCCAAAGCACAGCATACATCGATGACCCGTGCTGTCTTTATAGTTTTGTTCTGGCTAGTAGTGAAGTGTGTTTTCCGATTCAGGAGAAAATGCTTGAGAAAATAGATTCTGTAATATGATGTTAGTGGCGAGTGGTTTTATGAAAATATGAATAGTATTTCCCAGAGTGTGGTTGCCAGTTAATAAAGGAGGTTGAAGCGATATGAGGAGGTGAGATTAAAGTGAGGTGAGGTGCGCAAGTGTTGAATGGTATCAAAGGTGGAAGGAAAGCAAGAATGTGAAGGTGGATGAGTGATGATTAGGAAAACGTTTTTTGCTAATGGAGGTGTGTAATTGGCTATTACTTCTCTGCTTCCCACATCGTGGAAGTTGGTTTCTTTTCGGACCACCTGAAATAATAGTAGTATAAGTATGGCGTGGCCACAGAGCACAGGGAACATCTGGTTGAGACCGGTCACGCACGCACGCACACACACACACACATACAGCCTATTTGAATTTGCTTTGTATTTATGTCTGTATTAAGATTTTGTCACCAGTTGCAGACGCCGGCGCCTCGTAAATCGGGATTTACAATTTTCCGGGTTTTTATTTTCTAATCGGTCCCCGTCTCTCGAGAGCTGAGGGGCAGCATAGCTGGATTTTGGGTCAGCTATGAAATGCCTATTCGCTGGCAATACGACTTCGTCCATAGACTTCCAACGTAGGCCAGAGATTACGTAATCAAATGGGAGAGAGAATAAAAATATCTAGTTAACATGGCAAGGAAAGGGTGATAACTGCTTCGTTCTGAACACATGAGTCGGGTTTCAGGCATTTGATAGATATTGCTTCGACAAATTTGAAGAGAATTGGGATTTTTGTCCGTTGATTTCGCGATTTCCACCTCATGATGCGTATCAAGGAAATGTCTGGCAATAGCACTGTTAAGAGCATTTGTTTCTTTGAGACGTAGACCTTTTGATATTTGTTCAGAAAATCAATGTGCCCTATTTTCTATTCTCCAAATGTGACTGCTCCTGCAGATACATGGTAATTTGTATACATGGTTTTAGTTAACTTGAAAAGAGTATCTGCCGACTTCTGTTTGATTGCACCCAAAGAACATGTTATCTGATAAACGGGAACCAGAATAGGCTGTTGTTAGTGAAGTTTTCAATCTTCCGTTGACCATTTCTGCAATATTTTCACCTTTAAAACCGAGTTGGATGAAGACATAGCTATACCCCCCAAAAAAAACTTCAAAGTCGTCTACAGAGTGAGAAGTAGTCTTCCTAAAGGTGTACGAATCAGACTTCTTCAAACTGCAAAACCATTGGCGATTCACTTGCTAAGCTGTGAACTCTGCATACAGAAGAAGTTCATTCAATCACTACACTTACAATGGACGTAATTTATCTTACTACCCGACAAGTAAATTCTACCTAATCCTTTTCTCTTCTGCCTCTTCAATAGTGTTATTTTGTCTTCTCAATTGTAATATTTTACATTTTCAACTTTCTTGTTCTCTACTCCCACCCGATTTAATTTCTACACCTCACTACCACTGTTACGGACTTGACAAACGATCAATTTCTAGTCATTCGTTTATGAAGCTACAAAGACTGAGATGGTTCTGACATGTGTTACGTATGCCAAGTCATCGCCTCCCTCGACGAGCAATGTTAGCGGATATAGGGTCAGGCTGGAAAAAAGCTAGCGGCGGTCAAACAAAAACTTGGCATCAGTCAATGAAATCCACAACAGTTGGTCTAAGCCACGTAGGAAGGTGTAGACTTCCAGGCTGGGGTCCTCGAGACGGTAAAAATCAATGGTTGGAAACAATTGGTGACATGGCTCAAAATCGTTCTCAGTGGCGCAGATGCATCCACTCCCTGTGACTTATGATCTTCAATGAAACTGTTTTGTATTTCTTTATTACTCCTTTGTCTCACACATCTGCTCACTGTTTCTATTATGCTTTTCTTGTACTTTCTTCTCTTGCTTCGCGTGCTACACGGAATGTGGCGACTTGAACTTCCGCACATTTGTGCAAAGTTCTATGTCGAAAACAGACAGACATTCGTTTATGTTACGTCATCCAACTTATTTGCTCAATTTCAGTTCTAATTTAAATGGCATTATTCTCTAATCCACTTCTACTTAGTCTCTACCAGTAATTACCTCTGTTGCTACCCCGACCTAAGTTGAGACATTTTAGTCAATTATATGACGTCATCTAACTTACTAACTCAATCTTACTTAAGTTGCTGTCTAATTAACCTTGTTTCTATATTAGATCATTCTTTTATTACTTGATCACTTATCTAAACTTGACAAACCTCATGTACACACACACACACACACAAATAATTATATATAAATGCGATTGTACAGCTATGTGAATGAATTCACCGTCGAAAAGAGTCTCTTCGCTAGACGTCTTCTCTTTTTCATAAAGCATACTTTTTCTCTATTGTGATTTGTTTGATATTTGAGCTTTCATATCTCTCGTACTTGTTAACGAATCTCTGAGGGTAATCTGGAGCAAGAGGAGGAGTAGTGTTACTCAACAGCAATCACTAGGATTTCTATGAGGTTTGCAGTGAGCCAGCCAGACTTAATGTATGATATCTAAACGTTGGGATGTAATAGCCGACTGCTTCGCAAACCTGGGTGTAGGTGAAATACGGATTGGATTATGTGATGCAGCAGCGAGTTGAAGTGAAGCGCCTAGACCAATATAAGTTACAGCTCCATAAAGTATTCAATACATCAATTAACTCTCGATTAATCAATGCATATGTGCTCTCTATCACACACACACACACACACACACATGAAAGTGAAGCCAATAAGCTACTTTTCCATAGCGGGCGAATTTATCACACGTGTCGTTGACTCACTCACTTCTATTTTGAACCACCGTCCGTAATGTAATGCTTACCATACCCTACTCTGGTCAGATTAGAGAGAAGTACACAGTTGGTATTTTCAGTTACCATGAAAATTGAACATTAACCGAATTTCTAATGTCCATATGCGTACATGTTTTACCAATAGCACCATGCATGATTTGATAATTTCTTTCTGTTGTTTCTATCTATAGGAGTGTCTTACATACCTACTTACACAATTACATGAAGAAATGAGTAATTCTTCAAAGCCTGCTATGCCTAAGAGTAGTACTACAGCAGAGGTCCAGTTGAATGAAGTCGAAAGAAGTCATAGTGATGAATCAGACTGGATGATAATTGATCGTGCTGGTAAGCACTATCCACAGGCTAGAAAAGTATGCTCATATTGAAATATATACATATTTATTTATTTAGAATACTTGTTGTGTGTTTTCCAGTAATATCTATTTTCTTTTAATAATAATTGACCTGTTGAAAAGTGAATCTTATCAATGCTATGAGATGATGCAATAATTAATTAATACTTCTATACGTCCAAACCAAGTTCACTTTTAACAGTTTGAGAAAATTTGGACATAATGGTATAATAAAGAAAAAAAAAACAAAAAGATTGAAAATTATTTTTGGGTTTTTTATGCATGAGAAAACATTATTAAATATTATTTTTTTTATTGGGGTAGTTTTTCTTTTTTCTTATCTGTTTTTTTTTTATTTTTATTTTTAAAATTTTTCGTTATTATTTTTACGTTTTTTTTTTGGGTGTTTTTCACATCATTTTTTTTATAAAATTTTGGTTGTTTAAAAAAGTTTGTAAAACCTTTCTTGAGATGCTTTGATTTGCTTATTTTTATCTGGTTTTTGTTGATTTTTTCTTTTTCAAAAATAAAACTTTGGGTTAAATGGGTTTTCAGTAAACTTCCTTTAGAAAGAAAAAAATTTTTTTTTGGAAAAAACCTTAATTTATTTTTAAATGTCCTTATTAAAAAATTTGTGTAGTAAGTGAGAATTACTGCACACAAATATATATAATCAAGTTACAGAATTTCATCATAAGCTGATATGGCTTAGGGAACCATTGAAAACTAGCACTGGAGTACTGGACAGGTGTTTCGACAGCCTATTTTGTGACTTTTTAGATAAGTAGTTAACCTGGATTGAGTGAGACGCTGTAACTGGTGGGGTTACAGTAGGCTGGGTGTGAGGACAACTACTCACCACGGGTGACACTGGTTAGTGGTCGCGCTATATATTGTGAATTGGCTGGCCGAAGGGTCCTGGGTTCGAACCCCATTGGGTTGTGTGGGTGCGTACTAATGGCGAGTCCTGCTGAACTAGACTAACGAAGCAGCTGGCTGTCCAGTGCTCCCTGGTGGTTTTCCAGTAGTTCTGTAACCGACGTCAGCTCATGATGAAATCCTGTCTGTAACCCTCAAAAATGTATAAGTTTGGTCGGATCAAGTATAGTTGAGTTATATTTCGAAGTAAATAAGACTGGTATTATATATAACGCTTATTTGGAGAAAGTACGGATAATGAGGTTTTAAAAATGTGCGTATAGCTCCGGTTTTTCAAACTGTGAATGGCTAAGGGTTCATCAATGTGTAGAGGAGACAAAGCATATTGACTTCGCTTTGTTGGAGGCGTTTGTTAAGATGCAAAGACCAGTGTTGACAAGGTGTTTGATTATCGCACTCCATACCTTTCTGTAGACATGTGGGATAGTGTTCTTGGACCCTTTTGGAGACGATAGGCGTCAAACAACCAGTGTAGCTGGCTTCAAAGCAATATGTGAGCTGATATATGTACATAGTACCCCCCCCCATCCTTCATGAAAAAATTGTATATAAATGCTATTATACAGCTAGAAAAAGTGAATTGTGCCGAAAAGAGCCTCTTTGCTGAACTCCAATTTGAATTGGGTACGTTTTGTGTGTCCTTCACACACATTTCCGACTATTCGGTGTTGGTTATGGCTTATCCGTCATATAGGCACAATGAGCTAACTGATAATCAGTGACTATGGAAATTCCGCAGTTACTCGACTCGACTCCACTGCACTGAGGCTGTGAAACAGTCACATTTTCTGTCATCCATCCATCGTCTGAGCTCATCGTCTACCATGCATAGTGCGTGTCCTATGTTTGTAGTGAACGGAATCGACTGAGAAGTAAGCAAAGCAAAGCGTACGTAGTCAACCAAACCATATGAAGTCACTGAATGTTGGTTTGGATGGACAGTGTTTCAGGGGTAGGTGGAAATTGAGTTTGTTTAACTGTGATTGGTGTGACAAGTATTCACTGTGACTGAAAAGTATTCACGTCTCGTCTTCATCTCTTCCTAGGACTCTTGAACAGCAGTTCACCTTATTCATCTATAATAATAATAATATGTTAGGTGTCGCACTGGGGTCAACCATTTTGAAGGCTAATCACTAACATCTCAAAACGGTACAGATAGGCTGGGAATTCAGACAAAGGTGAAAGGTTGACGAAAGTGAAGACACCAAGGATAGCAAAAGTAAAACACACGATTCTATGTATAAAAATAAGAATACGATTGCAAAGAGATGTATCCCTTGAAACATCATTCATGTTCGAGAGCATTGTTAGTAGCATGCAGTTAGTTTCACTGACAGTTCGTCTTTTCATTTCGTTAATTGTGTGAGGGCTGAGATACTATCCGCGGGCCTAGACCGAAGCAGATGGTTGTCTTAAGGGACCACCCACCTCCCTGAGCCCTCGACTTGGAGTCTAATCCGCAACGTAGTGGAGCAGCCGCAAGGGCTATGTTGCCATGGTTGCCGGTGACCATAATCATAACACCTCTTTGCATAAATCGATTTACATGATAACAGTGATGTGTCGATCTGCGGGGGGGGGTTATGAATACTGTGCTCACCACCAATCAATATGTGTTAACTCCTCGTGTGAATTAAACTTTTTATTTTTATTCTTCTTGTTATTTATCGTCTTTATTATTATAATTTTTATTCAGATAGAACTTGATGGTGGTCAGAGTCCAATTTCCTCATTATTCTGTGGTACACTAGTTACTCGTTCTAATCTAGTCAAATCGTCACCTGTTGGCAATCCTGTTGAACGAGGGAGAAAAAAGGTCTCCGTGAAAGAGCCTTTCTTTATTCTTCCTGTGCCTATAGATGATCCATCGGTAAGTTGTTATTTATCATTACTCAGCATTTTTATTTCTAGTAAATTAAATATTCCCATAGTGTATGTATGTAATCAGAACAAGATAAATTTTGAGGGGACAATTGTTTTCGATAACTAATTCTCCTTCAGGCTCTTTACACAGTTATAAATCCATGAATCCATTAGAAGACAACAAACTGCAGGCCAGTAAGGGGAACGTAGGCGTGACATCCGGCTATCAACCAAGGGACGTGTGTACTGCTCAGCAGTTCGCCCCGTCCTTCTCTATGGCTCTGAAATATGGCCAATACAAGTTGAAGACATGAAAAGGCTGACCGCTTTCGATCATAGATGTCTGCGATCTCTTTCTCACGTTAGGTGGTTTAATAAGGTGAGTAATGTTGACGTTAGGCGTAGAGGGTTGGGCAAAGAGGGAAAATAAATCGACGAGGCTATAAAGTTACATAGATTGAGATGGCTAGGTCACGTGCTGCGCATGCCTAACCACCGCCTCCCCCGACGGGCATTACTAGCTGATATAGGTGCAGGTTGGAAAAGAGTAAGTGGTGGTCAAACAAAAACATGGAATCAATCCATGAAATCCTTGACAGTTAAACTGAGTCAGGTAGGGAGATGCAGACTTCCGGGTTGGGGCCCTCGAGACTCTAGGAATCAATGGCTGGAGACAATAGGTGACATGGCTCAAAATCGTTGTCAATGGCGCAGATGTATTCAGTCTCTGTAATCTTTCATATTCCTTTCTACCATTACCCATTCTGTTTCGCTCGTATACTTGTCAAACTCTATTGATTCTCTTCACTCATCTTCTTGTGTACCTTTGTGTGGTATTTGGAACGTGGCAACTCGAAGTGGTGCACTTCGGTGCCAAGTTCTATGTTGAATCCAGACAGACAGTAAGGGGAGATTGTATTAGATTGCTTAAAAAAGACTATGTCATACTTCGTAGAACTCTGAAGACTGTCAGTCAGTAGGGCGAGTGGTGTCCCATTGGGCCATATTGTTGACAGGCACTTGATCTCATGCAACAAATTTGCTAAAGGAATTTAGTCAGACTGTGAGCGTCCACATCAGCACCCTCAGCTCCAACCTTGTGTCTCCTCAGGTAAAACAAGAAGTCTTTTCAGGAAGACCTTATGCACGTACGTCTAAGTATAAAAATTCCACTATACCACATTTCACGGCACGTACTTTATGTGATGAAAATAGTGTTAGGCATGACTTAACTAACTAACCTTCTTTGCACTACTGAATAAACCATTTCCTCCACCCTTACAACAACAGTCTTTGTTGTTATTGCACTTCTTATATTTATAATCCTCTAAACTTTTTGTTTTTATTTATTTTTCATAAGTGTGAACATCGTTTAAGCTGTGTTACCAGTGTTAATCTTGTATTTCCCCTCACCATGCTGCTATATCAATAGAACATTAGATTCAATACTCTATAATAACATGCTAAAATTTTCAAAATGAATCGACAATACTGTTTGAAACAACTTCACTCTTATTATTATTATTATATTTAATACTCTTAATTCGTGCTTCGAATATTTTTGACTTTATATCGTAAACGTGGACAAATCCTCTGGTTAATTTTTGTTTTAATTTTTAATTTTATTTATATTTTAAGTAGATCAGATACAAGGTGTTGTGACAAATGCTGAGAATTTCATTCTGTATTATAAGTACTGCTTTTGGAGTAAAGTAGATTATTATTATTAAAAAAAGATGGAATAGTAGTCCGTTGGTTGAGATTGTCAGTTGACGAGTATGTGTAAAGTGTGCAATCATACCGAATACAAGATAAAATGTGAATATAGGATGGATAACCAGCTGGCATCGGTTAGAAAGCCATTGGAAAACCAGCGCTTGCGTACTGGACAGCCAGTTGTTTCATCAGCCTAATTTAGGATTCATCGACAGTATACACCCAATCAAATGGGGGTTCGAACCGGGACTTTCTGGTTACGAAGCGTGCTCGTAGATCATTCAACCCCTGGTATCTGACTCATTGGTCCATGAATAATTGCAACTCCTGGCAATTCGTGATATATGTATTTAGCTCAACTAGCACCAGCCCATGTGTTATCTCTGGCGAATATTTGTCCTCACTCACTACCATGTGGACCCATTGGTCACAACGTCTCACTAGAACTGCAGGCAGGTAGCATTGTATTGCAGCATTAGATATACATAGTGACATCTGAGCATTTGAGCAGTTTTCAGAAGTTTCGGTAACTAACTCTAAATGACAGCGATGATAATGATGATGACGGCGATATGGATGAAATTGGCTCTCAACCCAGCCTTATCATGTTGTTCTCACCTTTGTCATAATGTTTTATTTTCTCACTGTGATACTGATACGGATAAGTGCATCTTTGTGAAATTCACTACGCTGAGATAATATGTGCTAGTCGCATTTAAGGCCATTACTAAAACAGGTCTTTGAAGAACTTTATGTAATCACTTCTCAAGCTTTTCATCCCATATATATATTTTTTATATCTCGCATAGAAAGTTCTTTAATCATATGTCGCTTTTACTTTCGTTGATTTTGATGATTCCATTCCTCCCCCCTACCCTACAGGCCACCTCTGTTGAATGTTCTTTACGATGTTTAGCTGAACCGGAACAAATTACAGATTACCAGGATTCTTTAGGCGGACAACAAGCAGTTGTTCATCGTCGGTCAACATTAGATCGTCTTCCACCGTATCTTATTTTACAATTGAAAAGATTTTACAATGAATCAAAACCACAGTCATCTGTAAAAATGAATGTCAATGGAACTGTAAATATTACGCATAATGATGATATTGTTCGTGGTGGTGGCATTCGTCAGACAGCGTCATCAGCAATTATTCGTAAACATTTAAAATCAGTTAATATTCAATCGAAACTAGTTATACCTAAAGGTGAGTCATCCCAGTGATAATACTGATAATAATGATGATATATATTCTTTCCTACATTGCGATTATTTTTACTTGGATTTGTTAATATCAAAAGGTGGGTAGATTGATTGATTTATGCACTGTCGATTTTCAGCCAATAAATGATGCTGAATTGAGATTCAAGTTCCACGCGCCAACTATTTCAACTTCGGAGACCGAGTAGTACTAGTTGTAGTAATGGTGCAGCAACAGAAGACAAAGGTGTCAGGCAACAGATCGTTTATTGAAAAAAATCAGATATTTATAGATTTTTGTGTACATTATTATTCTCTATTGTTAGCTAAGAGGTGACGTCTTCTGATTGGTTGTTTTCCTGCTGAAGGTTATTCTGTCATCTCTTTGTGGGCGTTTCGTAGACAGTCCGTTGATATATATCTGCTAATCGTATACGCCCACGCTAAGTCTTCTGTGATTGGATGTTGAGTTAGTCTTTGTTCTTGCTTTTTTCTCCTCATGACCAAAATATGGGACGTAGAAATTGACATAAATTGGTGTGTACCAATTTTGGCTAGCAGATAGCTCTCGTTACAGTAGTAGTGTCATCAGGCCTAACACCGCCGCATTATGTATGACTCCTGCACCCCCTGGCCCAAGCGCCTAGAAAATGAAAAATTTGTTTTCGATGGTAACTGATGAACTGTCGAGAGATAACAAGAGATCTTTAAAAAACAGAAAGATTGAGCGAAGAAATATTCACTTTTCAATTAGACCCTCCTCTCACTGTCGCTCTACTCTAATATACACGTATAGCATTTTTATTACAATACACAACAGTTTACCAATCATCAAGTGGCACTGATATGTTTGTTAACTATAGTTAGTCAGTGTCAACATGTCAAGTAATGGTGCGATAATTAACGAAGAAAATCAATACACACAATTAAAAGGTAGGAATGGTTACAACACATGGATTGCATAATGCGTGATTTGGGAAAAAATGAAGAGTAATTAAGGGAAAAGCGTGTGCACAGATTGATTAAGTAACAGATTATTAAAGAAAACGATTTAAAACGATTTGGACAATGATAATTTGTAACTAAGGTTGAAATGGTCATAAGAATAGGATAGTTTTACAAGGGTAACACGTAATTAAAGACGAAGTGGTCGGAAAAAAATAAATAAAATAATTTGGACAGTTATAATTTTTAAAGGTTTAGGAGGAGGGGGCGAAGTAGTCTGGTTTATACATTCATGTAACGATGATGGCCAAGTTAAAGAAAGTGGCTGTACAGCCATGTAGAAGACGAACTCGTAAAGATTAGTAAGAATGCGATAAATAATTTTAAATACTGTATTAACGTCAAATTTATGCTCACTATCTACAAGGTGTGCTAAAATAGAGCTGTGAATAGATCTAGTCTGTCCCTTGCTTAACCATGCTGGATGGTGTTCGGAATTACGATGATGAGCCTGCAAGTACGTGGCGTACAATTAGGTGTACCCATTATGTAATCAACCTGTGCACACACTTTTCCCTTAATTCCTCTTCATTTTTCCAAGATTATGCATTATGCAATCCACGTGTTGTAACCATTTCTACCTTTTAATTGTCTGTATTGATTTTCTTCGTTAATTATTACCCCACTGCTTGACATGTTGACACTGACTAACTATAGTTAACAAACATATCAGTGCCACTTGATGATTGGTAAATTGTTGTGTATTGTAATAAAAATGCTATACGTGTATATTAGAGTAGAGCGACAGTGAGAGGAGGGTCTAATTGAAAAGTGAATATTTCTTCGCTCAGTCTTTCTGTTTTCTAAATATCTAAACAAGAGAACTGTGTAAAAATAGAGCAACTGATATGATAGTTGAAACAACTATATTATAAATGAAGGAGTAACATGTTATTCGTGGTAGTCTTTGAATCCCAGAATTTTTTGAGGGCGGCTGTCAAGGGCTGTTGTTATGAAGGACCACCAGAGGATTATAGTTGTTTCCCGTCGCTAATATTTATTGTCAACACTTACATTAATTGATTTCACAGCTGAGAAAAATGTAGCTCTCCTTTGGAAATAACGGCGGGAATGGATGGGAGGGTGGTGGTTGAAGGTGGTTTTATGAGTACAGTTCTATCCGTAGCGCCAAAATTTCGCCTTTTGAATACGATGATGGTGACGTGATGATGCATTGAATAACGATTTCATCAGTTGTGATCATAAGAAGGAAAATAAAGGGTAGAAATAAACAATCTCTATCGGCATGATCTAACAACTAACAATCAGTCAAGTAGGGGTGAAAAACCAAATCAAAAACAGAATTTCACTATCAGCTGAAATCATTTGGAGAACCTGGAAGTACAGGACAGCTTTTCGTCCCCGCGTGTCACTCCTCAACGGTACGCACCCACTAGGGTTCGAAACTGAAATCCTGTAGCTAACTAATCAAGTCCCTGCAAACCAACACTTTTGGTGTAAGTCAAAAACACTTCTATATCAGGGAGAAAAGGACAATAAGCTTAGCGAACTGATAACTTGCTGGCAATGTCATCCTCAAAAGCAGTTGTACAATTGCATTAATATATATATATATCAGTAGATGACTCTGAATAATGAGTGAGTTGAGATGCTATGGCAGGTGTTGATGAGGTGTTCAACTGTGACGCTTCTGATTAAACCAATGTATCCTCTTTGCAGCCATTCTATGAGTAATTTTCTCTAACACGTTGTGAAAGGATTCGCATCGGACAAACTATGTAGCTAGCTCTGCACGAGCAGATGAACTGATATATGCACATTGTAGTGGTCATATGTGGGAGTTTGTCACTCACAGTGAGCGTTTAGAGAATATCACACTTGAAGTTACTGCAGGAAGAGTCTTCTTTAGGGAACGAGATATTCTGCTATCGAGGATATCTGCCACTAAGTCTTCCCTGAAATCCAGCCAGATTCAAATAGAGTGTTTTCTTTGCTGCTGAAGTGTGCTCTTCTCTTCTCTGTCTTCGTTTCGTGTTCTTCTCTTTGAAACGTGATGGGTGTCCATTTTGAGTCTTATGAGTTGAAACATCCAAGTCTCAACCCTTTGGCTTGCACAGGTAGGTAGACAATGACAGCTTTGAAAATAAACCATCCAGCTGAGAGAACACAACTCCACCGAATATCTGATCCACCTGAGCTACAAATCTGCTCAGTCATTTCTGAACTTAACAGCCATTGATTATTGTGAAACTGTGTGTGTATGTTAGTCTTTTGATGAAAAGGTGGTGGAGATTTGAATAAGCTGATAAGGTTCATAAATTACTGGGCAGCAGTGAAGAGTAGACACCAAAGTCAAACGACCTTAAGTTAACCGATCAGATCACTCATCATAACAGATGGACGCTTTTCATAATGTTTGTTGCAGGTTTCATCCTACCTCCAATCTTCGTCTCAAGATTCACTCTAACCTTAACCTTCGTTTCAAGATGCGCTCCAACCTGCCTTAAACCTACGCTAAACTTAACGCAGAATTAGAATGAAACTTCGAGCGAAGATTATGAGAAACACCTTTTTGTAAAATGCTGAGCAATCTGATTGGTAGACTCAAGGTCGTTTGACTTTGCTGTCTGTTCTCTACTGTTGCCAATCATTTTGCAGGAAGATCTCAATTAAATTAATGCTTGCTCAGTGTACGAGGTGAGGGTAATATTTCTCAAAGTTCTTTTATTGGCTATATTGGTAATTTTCGACAGTTTGGTTTGTAAGGGTTAGTTTTGTTTTTACGACTTGGTTACGGATTGATATCAGTTAGAGAACCATTGAAAACCAGAGTTAAAGTACTGGATAGGTGTTTCATCCTAGTTTGGGAATCACCGGCAGTACGCACCCACCACCCGGGTTCGAACCCAGGACAAGGCAAGCTAGCTCGTATGCCATTCAACCACTGGGACCCGATTCAGTGACAAACCAATGAATTTTAACTTCTACCAATTCTTAATTTAGCGCGACCCCAATCATTGTCGTAGGTGGGACATCTATCCACAGATGTGATATCTGGATGGACCTCACTGGTCAAGACTTCTCACTAGAACAGACTCCAGGAAACTCCATTCTGTAGCCAGTCACTAGCACTAAATCACGATTTGGTAGAAGTTAGAATTCATAGGCTTGCCATTGAATCGGGTCCCAGTGGCTGAATGGTATACAAGCTAGCTTGTCTTGTAACGGAACGTTCTGGGTTCAAACCCGGGTGGTGGGTGCATACTGATGAAGAGTCCCAAACTAGGATGAAACAGCTGTCCAGTACTCCAACTCTGGTTTTCAATGGTTCTCTATATCGGTAATGTTTATTCTGGTGTATTCATTTTTTTTTATCGTCTAATTTCTTCATATTGTCTGTCCCCTTTTTTTATTAGAGTTGCTTAGTCAAGAAACACGATTTAACAGTTCACAACGTCATTATCGTTACTGGCTGTGATATTCCATGTCGGTGAGACTGTAGCCTCAGGACATTATACAATTGCTGTACATATAAGTAATCATTTAATCAAAAATGGTGAGAACTCTACAGCATTCTTATACTTTGATGATGATCGTGCTTGTATTCTGAATACTCCAGAAAGTGTAAATCTTTTACTATCAACTCACCGTCCATTAGATACACGAAGTTGTACATTTCTCCCCCTACCATCATCATCATCCTCTAAACAACAACAATCTCGAGTTGATTTTGGATCGACCGTGAACAGTCAACATACACCAACTTCCAGTGTCGTTTATTCAACTCAGCCTCGAACACCATATATCCTTGTTTATGAATCTCAAACAGTGTACTCACCAGCAGGCTGATGATGATGATAATGATAATGATGGTATTTTGATTATAATCAAATTTCGCCTCTGTCCTTTGTGTTTATATTCTTCCCCACTCCACCTCACCCCTCGCGTGTGTAAATTATTTTCTTTCCTTCTTTCTTTTGACGTATTATTTTTCTTTTAGCTCTTCTTTTTGTTTTGTTTTTAACCTGAAACTGTCAGTGTGTGTCCTTGTACACAACAGCAGAACACAGATTGAAGACACACACCCGTCGACTCCTTCCACAATAGCTAATTTCTAATTATTATTATTAGTTCTAATGTTCCTTATTATTTCTACATTTAAGCATGGATGGGGATTCCATTTAAATATTACTGATTGGGTTTTTCAGTAGTGATGATAAATCCGGAAAAAGTAAAGCTAAATTTATTTATTTTTAAAGCTAATATGTAGTTGATTGGCTGTAATATCAGTAAACTGAAATCCGTGACTTGTTTATATCAGGTTATTGACGCGACTGGGCCCCCAGAGCCGATTCAGTTCTTTTCCCGAAGTTATGGATCCAATTATTGCTGACTTACCTTACCAATATTGTTTATTTGTTAGAGGCTATTCACCTTAGAGACTTATTGCGGATATGGGTCCTGCCTGCCACGAAAATTTAGATAGATGGTGCTTTACGTAGGCTAGTTCCCTATCTCCGGATAATCCGATTCTGGGGAGTGGACGCACTCCTAAGAGAGACAAAAGAGAACTTTCCCAGAACTCCCACCGGCGTCTCCGAGTTCGGTTTCTTCACTGTTGTAGGCACACACTGAATCAAAAATCCAACATGCACCAATCTCCGTGAACAGCGTCGGGAATATTAGCCCAATTCCCTTTCGCTACAGGGAGCCGCGTTGCAAAAGTATAATTTGGCAGCAATACTAACAAAACCTGCAAGCGGACAATGTCAGGTACCCCATCTCTGTCCCGATTTAAAGGAACATTCAGGGCTGCCTGACTAATGGCCAACTACTGTTTCCATAGTACCCTTCTCCACTTCGGCCTTCAAGGTTTTCACTTGAATACTTGCTCCTGCCACCTAGATCTGCGCCTGTGGTTACTTCACTTAGGCTTATGTCTGAGGCTCCTAGCTAGACACGGTGACCTTCCTATTCATCGCCACCACTGCATGCCTGGACCAGGTCAGTTTGCTCTCATCCTGCTTACGACCAGCCTGCAGCAACGGTACGGTATAGGTGGAACGCTCGAGCGCTATCGATTTCCAGGGCTGGTTGATTCAGCAGATAAGTGAGTTGTTACACACTCCTTACCGGTTTCCGAATTTCATGGCCACTGTCCTGCTATATGAACCAACCAGCACCTTTTGTGATATCTCATGAGCGTTGCATTAGGCGCCTTAAGCGCACGTTTGGTTCATCCCACAATGTCATTTCCGCTTACCAAAAGTGGCCTACTTGGCACTCATCAAGGTGACTCACGTGCTCTAGCTGACATACAATGGCCACCTAGCTGGTTTTGCCGTTTATCTACTGCCCTACTTTCACACACACACACACACACACACCTACAAACATATTCACATCAACAAGTACAATAATTAATCATACTACTGCTAGTTGTTGATGTGTTTTTTTCCTTTCGTAGTATGTGTGCAAGTGATATGTTGAAATAGTTTTTGCAGAAGAGTTCACTTGACGGTGACTTATACCACGTTAAAAACGTCGGTCGCCCTTCAGTGAGCGACGTTGAATCCAGTTGATACTTGTATGAGTGATGGAATGGGAAAGCCGGTGGGCGGCTGACTCACTAATAATCACATCAAAATCACGCAACTCAACGCATACAACAAACAGATGGTAGTCACTAAACAAAATACACTCAGACACATGCATCAAAACACCACTCACTGAGTAACACACGAAATGCTCATTCAAACTGATACTGCCGTCATCACGACCACCACCATTATTACTATGTAGTTGGCACACACCGACGTGTATACCTTTGTATGTATTCAGACACAAACTATCATTGGTTGGGGTTGCACTAAATCACGAACTGGTAGAAGTTATAATTCATGGACTGGCCACTGAAAAGTCGGGTGGCTGAATGGCATACGAGCTAGCTTGCCTTGTAACTGGAAGGTCCTGGGTTCGAGCCCTGGTGGTGGGTGCGTACTGGTGATGATTCCTAAACTAGGATGGAACAGCTGTCCAGTACTCCAGTGCTGGTTTTCAATGGTTCTCTAACTGATATCAATCTGTGATCAACTCGTAAAAACAAACTGTCAGTCAGAAATCACACACAAACACCATCTCCGAGACAATCAACCACTCACACACAAATACACAGCCACACCAAGTGCATTCGGATTGTACGTATGTATATTTGGAGTAGTCAATCGATTGCAGTGTTCAGTCGGTTGTCTGACTGAAGTATGTGACTGCGTCAATCGTTGCACTGAAAGGTAACTGGTTGATTCATTGCCAATATCCTGTTTCTTCGCCTGAAGTTTCCAATTTGTTCAAGTTACAAAATAGAGAGATCTCCTTGCTGACTCATGTGTTATTAAAGCGGAGGAAGTTGATGCAAAGAGTAATCATGTGAAACTATTTAAGTTAACTAGAGTTCAGGTTACTACGTATCACTGATTCCGTAGTCATTCATTTTATCTAGTGAAGCTCTTTATTCTCACTAGCACAGACAAGTGTTGTGTTCTGACTTTTCCCACCAGGGTGTGTGTGTGTTTTGGGGGGGGGGGGAAGCTCATAGTACTAGAAGATATTTGCTGAAAATAGTCGGATTCAACCTTCATTTGAGTTACCTACTGCACTTCACTATCGAAGATTAGTCAGCATTTGTTAAATAACAACAGTGATAACTATGATACTTGAAGGTGAATGTTTTGTCTGTCTGTCTGTCTGTTTTCGACATAACTTCGCATCGATGTGCAGCAGTTCAAGTTGCCACACTCCCTCCTTGTAGCACACAAAGCAACAGAAGAAAGTAGAAGAAATGCATAATAGAGACAGTAAACAGAGGTGTGAGACAAAGGAATAATAATAACGAAGAGTAATATAGTTTCAGTGAAGATTATAAGTCACAGGGAGTGGATGCATCTGCACCAGTCATTGAGAACGATCACTTTGAGCCATATCACCAATTGTTTCCAACCGTCCCGAGGACCCCAACCCGGAAGTCTATACCTTCCTAAATGGCCTACACTAACTGTTGTGGTTCGTTATTACGCTTACTTGAAGAGATAATATAACTAGAAATTACAACTATATATGTAGTTATTTTACCACAACCGATAAATTACTGGTTTGTGATTACATAAGAAAGCATGTATGAATAAATATCCAATGGCTGGCTTAACTGTCAGTCCACGTTAAGATCAATAGTCGTCTGGCTTACAAGTCATTTATACAAAGAACTAAATCACCATGATTATGTCATCTCATAGTCTAACAAAATCTGTAACGAGAGAAGACAAGGATCAGGCAACAGATCGTTTATTGAGAAAATCAACAGATATTTATAGATTTTCATGTGCATTATTGTAGATTATTGTTAGCAGACAAACACAGTCTTCTGACTGGTTGTTTCTCACTTAAAGTTAGTCTTTCATCTCTTTGTGGCCGTTTCTCGAAGTTCAGATTATCTGTCTGCAAATTGTATCCACCTACTCAAAGTCTGCTTTGACTGGTTGTTGAGTCAGTCTTTGTTCTTGTTTTTCACATGACCAATATTTGGGACGTAAACATTAATGTAAATTACTGTCCACCAATTTTGGCTAGCAGACAGCTGTCATCACAAAACTATTAAACTGAGCTAAATATTCTGCCAGTAATCCCAAAGAATAACTCGTATGATTGTAGATATCAATATCAATGCGTGATCGGAATTCTAACCTCTCCGATACTGACAAACTAATGCATGGAAATCAATCTGATGCTCTCTAGTGAGTGAGCGATTGACTAACTACAGAACGGAGCTGACTGAAGTTCTTGTGAGAAGTCGGCACCATCGTTAGTCCATTAGGTCGTTTGTGGAGTCCACTAACTCGCCAATGACAGCTGGAGGTGGCGATAACCAAAATAGCTAAGCATGATGGAAGTTAGACTTTTTGGGTGTGAACAAAGCAAGAACAACAGTGACGGTTTGTGCAGAATAAGAAGATGGTACCATCATTCGTTTATTTCATCGGCTTCTCATCAGCTGCTGCTGCTGCTTACAGCCTTAATAAATTATGAGGTTTATGTACAGAAAAGTTTTAACATACTTGCAGTTTTTTCATGATGCCAGTTGACAGAAGGTTCCACAATTAATGAACATTGCTCAAAAATTGCGCTGATATAGTTTTTACACAGGTAGTTCAAGTTTAAAGAAAGTAAATGGTAAAGGAGTTGCGTGATAAAGACGAGAGATGCGTAAGATTCTGTGTGACCCTTTGATATAGTGTAATTCTGCTTGTCTCTTGTTTCTATGATTTGAGTTGAACTCAGTACACTGGTACCTAACTCTTTAGTCACTCATCATATTACTCATCTCTCGTCTTTATTACGCAACTAACTCCTTTACCATTGTATGCATACATTTACTATGTTTAAACTTGACTGCCTGTGCAAACTCTATATAAGCGCAATTTTCTCAGCACTATTCACTTATTCGGGAATCTCCTGTCAACTGATATCATGTAAAATTTGCAAGTATGTTAAAACTTTTCTGTAAATAGACCTCATAATTTTTTAGGCTGTAAGTAGCTGATGAGAGGCCAATGAAATAAATGATGGTACCATAGTGTTTAGCACAAGCCACTGTTGTCTTGCTTTGTTCAAATTCATCATCATGAACTTTTTGGGTGATCGAATTCCTTCTGAGTGGTCAGTGAAACGCGCCTCGTAACCTGAAAGTCATGGGTTCGATCCCTAGTGGGATCATGGGTGGAAGAGTTTCAGACTAGACGGACGAAACACCTGTCCATTGTTCCCTTGTTTTAATAGTCCTCTGGGATTATTTATCATTATAATTGTTGCCTTGGGTTCCAAGTGGAACTTGGGGCTACAAAGCACATCTCTGCTTTGTCCTGTGCTCTATGGTCGTCTTCTTTAGCTTACCTCACGATTCCCGTAGTCTCCCATCTCCTGCTCTCAAAACTATCTCCTCCATTTCACCCACACCCAACTTGCCGTTTCCCATTCGCTTTCCATTTGGGTGTCGGCCTGAAGTGCGATGATATTCGACAGTCACTTCAGTGGTGTTCTCGACCCATTTTCAATTCCTTCGGCATATATGTTGAGCTAGTTTTCTAGTCTGTTCCAAGATCAGGAACATAGGGAGTTAGGGCGTGGGGCTGGCAACCCTACACTGGAGAATCGATACAATGGCTACAGAAACTTAAAAACAGCGGTTCTCTAAATGATATTTGGTCCATGATCAGATGTGTGACCTGGGATTTATTAAAATCTAATGCTTGAAAACTATATATATGTATAAATCTGATTAGTGCGTCAGTGGCACAGCGGTAAAATGCTCACCAATCACGCATTTGGCTCGGGGTTCGACCCTTGCCAACGGATGCACTCCTTCGCCTCGCTAAACGAGTAATGAGACTAGTAAAGAGGAGAGGTTGGTTGGGCTTGAGGCTAGCAACTCCATCGTGTTAATATAAACTCCACTTTTGCTACCGAAAATTCAAGCCTCTCGCTTGGAGTCCCCACGTTCCACTGGGAATGTAAAGGAGTAAAATAAACAAATCTGATTAGTCGAATAAATTGAGATTAGTTACAGGATTTCATCATGAGCTGACATTGGTTAGAGAACCACTGGAGAACATGGGAGTAGTGGATAGCTGTTTCGTTTTAGTTTGGGACTCTTCATCAGTACGCACCAACCGGGATTCGAACCCAGGACCTTCTGGTTACAAGGCGAGCTAGCTCGTAGACCATTTAGACACTGGGACCCGATCCAATGGCCAGCCCATGGATTCCAACTTCTGCCAATTCACGACATTGCGCAACCGCTATCCAATGTCTTCAGGGAGTATTTGTCCTCACACCCGAGCTGCTGCATGCTACTGGTCACGCCTTCTCACTAGAACCCCAGTCAGCTACCTGCTGTGAGATTGTCTCTCACAGGGTGGAGAATGATAAAACACACTGGTTTCTGTTCTGTTTTGTAAACACGGAAACTATTTAGATAGAGTCAACAATTGAAACAAAGTTCATTCAGCGAGGAGTTACTCTTTTCGGCGACGATATCGTCATTCTCAAACTGTACAACTGTATACACATACAGTAAATTTCCTGGGACAACAAAAGGGGTATTTCCAAAGATATATTATTAGAATTGTGAATTATTTTTAGATAACGAATTACGTAATACGAGAAAAGCTTTAACCAGATAGAAACTAAGATAAAATTAAATAAGTAAATTGAGTGACGCAATACAATAGACGGAAATGAGTAGGATTTAACTAAAATTTCACAACAGTGGTAATATAAGGTGGAAATTTAATTGGAGATGACGGGTGGAAAATGAAAGCCACAAAAATATGCAAAGTTCACGATTTATACATGTGAATTGTCATCGCTTCTGCTCTGTTTGAAGAAGTTTGATTTGTACCCGTCTCTCCGAAACTAATGATCAGCATGATGTGAAAGATAAGCTACCACTGTAACGACAGAAGACAAGGCCGGGCAACAGATCGTTTATTAAGGAAATCAACACATATTTATAGATTTTCATGCACATTATTATAGATTGTTTAAGAAAACAAGCACAGTCCTGTGATTAGTTGTTCCTCACTAAAAATTAATCTTTCATCTCTTTGTGGCTCTTTCTTGAATGTCAGATCATCTATATGTTAACTGTATCCGACCACGCAAAGTCTTTGTTCTTATTTTACTCATTACCAATATTGGGGACATAAACATTGACGTAAATTACTGTCCATCAATTTTGACTAACAGCCAGCTCTCACACACCATTACTGGCCTCATCATCACTGTGCATCTATCAGTTCACCTGTTCGTATGTTGGCTCTATCCAGCGTTCACTATCCAAACGTATCATCAAACACTTACCCTCATGGTTTTTTAAAGGAGAAAAATCCCTCCCCCCCCGCCACAGCTCCACGGTGGAACACCTGATCGAATCTAGACACCAGGCTAACCTACAAACCAACTTCATAGTCATCTACAGAATACACGGGAATCCCTTTATAAACGAGTACGAATCAGACTTCTTCAAACAGAGCAGAAGCGATGACAATTCACACGTATAAGTCGCCAACTTTGCAGATTTTTGTGACTTTTATTTGTATTCATTTTCTACGCCTCATCTCCTCTTAACTTTCTACCTCATAAAAACCACTGTTGTGTACGTGACTGTTGTTCAATTTTAGCTGAATTCTACTCAACCTCCTCACTTGTATATTAAGTCATTGAATTTACTTATTTAATTTTATCTTAGTTTCTGTCTGATTAAGGCTTTTCTCGTACCACGTAACTCTTTAGCTACACGCCTTTTTCTTTTCTACGACTCAATGGTGGCATTTCTAAGTTAATTCATGAAAAATCCCCATTCGAACATTTTGTGTGCATTTCGGAATCGCCCTCACAATCCGAAATGCACACAAAATGTTCGAATGGGGATTTTTCATGAATTAACTTAGAAATGCCACCATTGAGTCGTATAAATACATTAATAGACAGAAGACTAGTAGTTCAGCGAAGAGTCTCTTTCCGGTGAATTCATTTCCATAGCTGTACAGTCGCAAATATATATATATATATATATGGTTATTTTGAATGTATGTGCACATTAAATTTGTCAAACGAAAATACAATTAGTAAGTTCACATGAATTAGATGTTGATATAAGAGGGTAGTAACAAAAGTGACGAGTTGTCACAAATGATTGTTAAAGAAGAGTTACGTAATAAATGAATAGTTGATGAAAAGCTGTGCTCAGGGTGTACATATAAACAAAATACCCTACAGAACTACTCAAGAGTTTTAAGTAGTTAGAAAAACAAGCATACAAACAAAAGTTAAGTCAAATCAACAGAGTTGTCACCATGATAGTAGAAGTGGTTGAATAATTTTCTTTTGCATACATAGTTCTGGTTCTTCTAAATAAATGGCTGGGTCACCTTTAAAGTGGAGGTTCATATAAAATATCTTTTTTGGCACGGATGGCGTCTCATGCTTTTGATATGTTTGATATTTTTGTCTACGAATCTTGATGGATAGCCGTTTTGTATGAAGATTTCCTTCAGGAAGTGTAGTTTTTTTCCACGGTACCAGGGCTGCAGAGGTGTGGGACGCGAGTGGTAAGAGATCTAATTAGGTTTCTTTTTCCACTGATTGGAACCCAGCTGTAGAAGCTTGTCAGTTGGATGGACCTTCTTAAAGTCCCGTCAGCTCTTCTTGTAAGTTTAACATCAAGAAAAGGGATTTTAGATTCGTTTTTAGTTACAAGAGTGAACTTTCTAGCTGAATGGCATTTGTTAGATATTTGTAGCAACTGGTTAAGGTCGTGACCATTATCACAGATAATAAAGATGTCCACATATCTAGCACACATTTGGAAATTATCAATAGTTGATTTGGGTGTTAATTGAAAGGAAACAGTCAGTTTCATTATAATAAAGATTTTCGTGTATTTCCCAATGAATGAAAAACAAAACGATATTGTTTTTACTGACGTTTCGCTATTTAATACTAATAGCTGTATCAAAGTTTTATTAAACCGGAGTTTACAAAATCTCAACATATATAACATAACATATATATAACAAAGAGTTAAGGGGTGGGAAAATAGACTTAGGTCAAGTTGAAAGGACATATTGAAGATCACTAAACCGAATAACAAAGCTAATAGTACATCTGCTTTGGTATCGAAACAAAGTTTACTAACTTGATCATCGTTTGTCAGTCTGGGGTCATTTTTTGTTGTTAAGTTGGTCAAATTGGTAAAGATAACAAAATCAAGTGTAGATTGTTGGATTTGATCAGTGTGTGACGTTATAAAAGTAGTGTGTGTTTACATAGTGAACTTGCTTATCACATTCGTGTTGATTTTGTAATTTCATGAGGCAGGAGAGGTGGGTGTTGTACTCAGTCAGATTCTGTTTTAGTCCATCATTCTTATTCAGTCCAGACAATTTGAATTCCACTTGATATGGAGTGCTTCTGATATTAGACGTTCTTTTTGATTTCTGAAATTTTTCTGGTTAATGATTTCAATACTGTGAAAATCAATTTTGTGGCCTGATTCTATAGAGTGTAGATCTATGGTTGATGATTTTTCAAGCTTTTCTAGTTCAACTGGATTTCTTGGTGGTCGCAGAGATGCTCTACGGTGTTCATTTCTTCTGATACCTTGATTTCTCGAGATGTTTGTTCGATGTATATCGCCTCACACTCCAAGCGGGTATTTTATTTTATAGACACAATTAGATAGAGAATCTTCAGGATTCGGTCTTTAACATGGACAAGGTTGTTTAGTAGTGTGTCTGATGTTTTGAAGAAAACTCTAATGTCGAGCTGATTGAGCACTCTTCTGATATCGTCTGACGTCTCTGCCTGTGCGGAATGGCAACTGTTGAGGTCCATGTTTTCGGGATGCGTTTTCAGCTATATTTAATGTCTGTGTTGATTTTGTTGATGAAGTTCCTTGGGTAGTTGTTTTACTTGAGGAGAGTTTCGAGGAATGTTTGATATTTCTTCTTCCTTTTCTTTCTCATCCGTCAACATCAAGAGTGTGCTCGTATAAGAAGACTTGAAACAACTGAAGCCTATGAGCTGATGGGGTGTGATGATCTGAAGTCTAAAATTTATTGGAGTGGGTTTTCTTCCTGAATATGGATATACTAAAATGTCCGTTTTTCTTCCTCTTAACTAGACAGTTTCGAAATGTTAGTTCACCGACGTCTGATTCTGCTTCCGAAGTAAACTGGATTCTTGGAGATTCACAGTTTATTTTCTTCAGGAATGTATTGTGTAGATCTTGTTTTAGCACTAGAAGAGTATCACCTACGTATTTTAACCATATTTTAGGAGTGAGTATGCTTGAAAAGATGTTATCTTCGAGTATATTCATGAAAAAGTTCAGCGACTATTAGGGAGACTGGTGAACCAATAGCAACACCATTTGTCTGTGTATATAAACTCCGTTTATATCGTTTTGTTTTTCATTCATTCATTGGGAAATAGAAGAAAATCTTTACTATAATGAATATCATACTCCCCCCAATGTCGAAAATTTTTTCAAACTGTGTTGAAAGTGAACTTGGTTTGGAATATATATAAACACTCAGTTTGTGCTGTGTCACGTGATTTTCAATGCATGTCTACTGATCGATATTTCTAAATAAAGACCAGTCAGACTAGTTTAAATATTCTTATTATCGCTGAACAGCACAAGAAGTAGCTGAAGTCTTTCTAGATGTAATGTAATTCTCTCTGAATGATGTTAAATAACCTGAAGAGGCCTCGCTGCCTCCATTTTCTGTCCAACATTTTTAAAAGACGACTGAATATATTTTGAATTTCAATAAGTTAACTAGATGAATAAATGAGATGAAAAAGGTGGAGGAATCATTTAGCAATGCTAGTGCAGCAAATTCGACGTCAGCATCCATATCAACACCAGGGAAACTCAGCGCTTATAATAGACATTTTGACGGTAGTGGTCGTGGTGCCGGTGCAGGGGAACAACAATTAGTCTGGTTTGCAAATATCCGCAAACCTTTCCTGTTAAACGATTATCCACAAGTGACATTGGCTGAAAAAATGAAATCTCGACAATGTCTGAACCCAATGGCAGCGACTAGTGGCGGTGGTGGAACAACAATTCATGAGAAAATTAAAGAATACGAGCAAATTCTACCGAATCCAACAAAAGATGATATGACTGAAACAGCTTCGACACTGATGAGTAATAAACCGATGGTTGGTTTTTTTACAGGCTATCATCATCAACATGGTAGAATTAATCAGGGGAATAGTAGGGGATTTTTGAAAACTATACCCAGGGTTAAAAAATCAAAACAAGTATTAACGCATAGTGTAAATTTTGAAAAGTGTATCAAGTCGTTGTTAACTGGAAATTTCTCATCCTCATCATCACCATCGTCATCTTCAGCAGCGGGATCGCGTTTCGATAATAGAATACATCAAACTCAGAAATTCTCAATTCATCATTCTGGTTCATCAAGAAAAGATACCGAAGTTGATCATATCGGCTTATCGTATTCGTCATTGAGTATACCGTCAAGTTTTTGGTTAACAACAACGACAACAACAGAGAGTGATGGAACGGATACTTTTGAATCCACTACTGCCGGTGCTGAGGCTTCGAAAAAGTCTGGCCATCATCACCATCATTACCATCATCATCATCATGAGAAAAAGCCAACTGATGGATTCCAAAATGAAGTATCAGACAGCGGTAAACCGCAAGGTAGAAATATTCTTGTAACAAATAAAATTATCCCACCACCTCTACCATTGGGTTACAGTAGTCATCGTAGTACAAGTGGTTCATTGCATGTAACATATCCTAAAGAATTAGCTGCAAACCAATTTTCACTCATGGATGAAACTGAAGAGAAAGTGAAAGAATATCGATTGAGAGGTTTTTCACAACCTTACATACCTGATATGCATACCTGTCTACCAGGGATTGATGTCTTGAAAGTGAAAATAAGAGATTATGATTTAAAATTAGATGCAAAAGTTGACAATTTAGCTAGATATCGTCATGCCTATAAAATTGGTATATTAAATGATAAAAAGTTGAAGAATTTTTTTACAATTAAACGACCTGATACACTGCCTGACTGCCTACAACGTCTTGTTCGATTAGGCTCATTAAGTCAGTTGTCTGCACCACGAGAGAAAGAGAAAAATGAGCTGGAAGCGTTGCAAAGAGAACGAAAGTATTGTCGAATTGTGGTGAAGCGAACTGACACAGCTTTAGATGATGTTAGAGAGTTATGGTTAGAGTCAAGGTATATTATACACGATCAGTTTAGTTATTGGTTAAGTGAAGGCAAACCAAATGAAGCCTATTCACATCTGTCAGTGATGGAAGCTGAAGAACAGATTAGACATTATACAAAATTGTTAAAATCCTCTGGCTTGTATCCAACTTCGAGTATTCGACATCAATGGTTAAATTTACTGTCAACATTTATACATCATGATCATTTGTTAAATACCTTGATGACAACCATTGATATCTGGTTGAATGGTCTGCTAGAAGGTCTTTTCAATCCAGAGAGAACTGTACGCGAAGAGACATGTTATCTGCTGGCTTATTTATTCATTGAAAGTAGATTGACACATTTATTGGCCAATTATACCTCGATCGATCTGTGCTATGATGTCACAATGACAGTATTACGCGCCATTGAACTCTATCCAATAACATTTATACACTATTATACTCTATTAGCCTTGATGATTGAAGGTTGTCCAGTGCTAAGCATACTACAGGCTATTCTTGACAAATGTCCATATACAAAGTGTATCTTGTTACAACATTATTGGCCAAGATTAATCTACTATATCTTGAAATTTTGGCCATTGAAACAATTCTCAAATGATCGTTTGGAATTATTTGAAATCAACGATTCTTTAGACAAGGGGTATATGAATCCAATATCTAAAGTGAATTCAAAATTGGCTCAAAGTGAATTGGGCAAAAGATTTCTGTTTATCACAAAACCAATGACTGTATGGTTACCACAATGGTTAAGACCAGATGGCTAAAGAAGAATTGACTAATTGTTGACGGTCATCACAAAAATAAATAAATTATAATAATAATGATAATAACATCTTAATTCTTGACAGTATTTATAAAATGTTCAGAAATTTTCAGAGGAGGTTTTTGCACGATATTTTTTTCCCTTCGTACAATATCTTCAAGGAGAAAAGTAATTTAAAACAAGCAACAAAGGGGTTAATAAAGCAGGATGATTTAACGAATTCATCAAATTTCGGTAGAACTCTTCCCCAACTGAATACTACTCTATATACACGGATAAATGTATATACTTTTGAAATTAAATTGGGAGATATAAGACTGATAAGTGAGCAAATAAACTACATTGATTTAGTCATGCAGAAAGACAGGTGCGAATGTTTTCCATGTCATGTTCAAATGGATAAGGGGAGAGAGAGTATGAGAGATCAAAATTAAGATAAATTGCATTACGCTTCAATTACATCACTTAGATAAACAATTAGACATTAGAGAATATAACAAGAATTGCAAACTGAGTAATATCAGTTGTAATGGTTATAATAACTATAATAATAATAGTGTTGAAGTGAGTTAAGATAATCCTACTGATAAAGGATAGTTTTAAATGAAACAAGAATAATAAGTAAAAAGTATTACCATGGTAGATTCAGAGTCACGACCATCTCTTTTTGTACACAAAGATCTGGTTTATAAACTTGAATTGCACAAGCCTCCTCGGCAATTGCAAGCATCTTCTTGTTTCTTTGTCTGCTGACAATAGTGAATGACTTGACCGCGTCGATATCATGTCCGTAATCTACAAGATGTTTTGTTATTGAGGATTTTGGCACTTTACATTCAGCTGTTTTCAACCATTTTGGCAAATGCTTCATCATGCGAGTAGACAATCACTTTTCCGTACGACCTATGTATTTGCTTCCACAAACACACTCTAATTGGTATACGCAGTTTGAAGTGTCGAGGAGATTGTAAAGAACAAGAAGTTAAGCGAAGATGGTGATCTTTTCGGCGATATCATTCTCAAAAGCATGGATACAATTGTTATTATTTGCTTAATTCCATATAGTAACGAAGGTGATAATAATTTTCAACTTGATATGAAAGTTCGAAGGTCTGAATATAGATTACAAGGGGCTTAGAGACAAGATTGCATAGGATTAGAAAACAGTTACAATGTATGCGAAATTAATATTTGATAATTGGAGAAATAATTTTAAATTTGTCTTCATTCAATTCATCCCATTTTTTTCAGTTATAAAATCAGTTATTTTAAGTTGGTTTCCATGCTCTTCCTGATTACATTTGTAATCCGTTTAGAATAACTATTTTACAATTATATCCTAATCCTGTGTAATTTTTTTTGTTTCTATGCCTCTTGTAATCTATATTAACACATCCTAACTTACATTTCAAGTTGAAAATTTTGATTTCAATTTGTTTCCATGCTCACTTTGTTCACACCTCTAATTCGTTCTATCCCTGTGTAACTTTCGTCTCTAAGTCTCTTGTAATTCATATCAAGTTGGAAATAATTATCACCTTTTATTCGCCTTTAAAATTATTTCTCCAGTTAACAAATATTAATTTTGCATATGGAGCATACGGAATTGTGCTTCTGTCAATCCCAGGCAAAATACTAAGCCGCATCATCCTGGAGAGAATCAAACAAGCCCTGGATGAAAAACTTCGACCGGAACAAGCTGGATTCAGGAGAAACAAGTCATGTATTGATCAAATCTCCACACTACGGATCGTCAATGAACAAAGCTTGGAATGGCAGTCACCTCTCTATCTCAACTTCATCGACTTTGAAAAGGCCTTTGACAGCGTCGATCGAGAGGTGATTTGGCAACTACTTCGCTACTACGGGGTGCCATCGACAATTATACATCTCATCAAACAGTTATACGACAATGCTGAGTGCCAAGTAATCCACAACGGGAAACTTACGGAAGCCTTCGAAGTGAGGATGGGAGTGAGACAAGACTGCCTACTATCACCAATGATCTTCCTGATTGCAATAGATTGGATAATGAGACAGACAACGGGCAATGAGGAAACAGGCATTAAATGGACTCACACAAAAAACTTGGAGGATCTGGACTTCGCCGATGATATATGTCTGATTTCCCACAAACTGGAAGATATGCAAATGAGAAGCAACAAGTTGGCACAAGAAGCATCAAAGATAGGCCTTCAGGTGAGCATAGATAAAACAGAGGTGATGAAGACTCCTGGCCAACAGCAACAACAACAACAGACAACAATCAGCCAGCATAAATGGGAGGAGCCTGAAAGAAACAGCCTCCTTCATCTACCTGGGAAGCATCGTTTCAACTACAGGCGGAAGTGATGAGGATATCAGAGCAAGAATCGGAAAAGCAAGACAAGCTTTCATTACTCACATCAAGTCTGTGTGGAGGTAAGCAGCACTACTCAGCATCAAAAATAAGATCCGGATTTTCAACTCCAATGTGAAATCAGTGCTACTTGCAATTCGGACCAGAGACTTGGCCAGAGCGTCACAAAGAGCATCTCAAACAAACTTCAGACCTTCGTCGACAGCTGTCTTCACTGAGTACTCAAAATCAGATGGCCGGTCAGAAAAGATCAGCAGCAGGGATCTCCGGGAACGAACCCAGCAAGAACCAATTGTGCAACAAATAAGCAGTAAGAAACGGAGGCGGACTGACCATACTCTGAGGAAACCATCGAGTGAGTGACATCACTAAACAAGCCCTCGAGTGGAACCTGAAAGGGAAGCGGCGAGTTGGTCGTCAGTGCAAGGCTGACTTGGAGGAGGTCATGTGAAGAGGAGATGAAAGCATGTGGGCAGACTTGGAGCGGGGTGAAAAAGTTGGCAGAGAACTGAACGCAATGGAGATATGCAGCTGAAGCCATATGTTCCTCTAGGAATTAAAGGATATAATAATAATACGTTGTAACTGTTTTCTAATCCTATGCAATATTGTCTCTATGCCCTTGTAATCTATATTCAGACCTTCGAACTTTCATATCAAGTTGAAAATTATTATCACCTTCGTTACTATATGGAATTAAGCAAATAATAACAATTGTATCCAAGTAAATAATCTGTATAAATGTGATTGTACATCTGCTTTTGAGAATAAAATAGCCCGAAAAGAATAGTAATTGGCAAGTGTATATCCTGTAACACACAATAGTCTCTGAGCAGCTCAGGCACAAATCATTCCATAATGTGATATATCTGCTTTGTTTCCTTCCAGAAACCCATCCACGATATCGATCTAGTTGAAAGCCAATTGTAATATGTTCAGAAGTACATTTTCAGACCCAAGGACATAACTGAAGAACAGATATCTCATGTATTGGGATACCTTGCCAGCCACAATCTCGGGCCATTCGTCAAGTTTAGCAGCAACTTGAGAATCAGGAGCTTGTAAACTTTTTAAAAACATACAAGAGTAGATAACACCATTAGAGTGGTGAAACAAACTAAAGCAAAGAAAATATATGCAATCGAGAGAGAGAGAGAGAGAGAGATGGAAGAATTTTTGATAGCCCACATTTTAAGCACGCCTAATCTTCAGTTAGCAAGGCGATGGTTGAAAGCTCAGAGTACTTGTAAAACAAGCAATCTCGCAGAACACCGAACTGTGTGGAATATCATTCTCAGTGATTAGTTCTATATTGAATAAATTCGATATAGAACGGTGAGTGATAGAGTATTAATAACTGAATTCAATTTAGAGCACAACTTATCACTCATAATTACTCATGAATATATTCTTCACACTTCCTAATCAATGATTTACTCCAGTCTAACTGAACTATCTCTGATTTCTAGATATTATCAAACATCTCAGTTAACACAGATAACAGCACTTCATCATCAATGTCCTTAAACACTTCTGAAGTCACCTCATCAGGTCCAAATGATATCTACCTCGTTTTGGATTAAACACAGCCTTTGTAAGCTCACCGTTGTGGACTGAAGACCTCCGAGGCCCACATCCCATTCAGCTAAGTGTTCGATTGGATTTTGGATAGATTGACCTATTGGCATTAGCTAAGGCCAGTTAAATTGTTCCTTAAAGTGCGCCATCCAGAGTTGTTTTCGCATTTGCTTAGAACTGACTCCCTTTGGTCGTATTGTTGACCACTTCTCTTTTACAACCTGTTTTTCTAATGCTCCTAAAGAGTTGTCTGGTGATACCATCATCACCACAGATGCCTTCTCCATATCCTTCGCTTTCGTTGCCTGTGGAGACTTTTGGTCAACTTGTAATTGAGAAGCATCAGCTGCTCATTATGTCAGGAGGTGATTGGAATCAGTCACTCTCTTTGCTTGTGTCTGTCAGTTGGGATGACGGAGTAGAAGTTCACTGGTATTTTTCTAAGCTTTGGTTATTGATTGTTATCAGCTTTTACCAGAGTTTGTACAGATGTTTGGATATTATGTATGGAGTTTCCTCAGAATGAGTGTTGCTGTCAATCTCAAGTACGCATTTAGCTATTTCTTCCTCCCTTAAACAGAGATTTCGTGTCTTCAACAGTTTGGTGGCGTAGCGGCTACATTATTGCCTGTTTCTAATGGTTACTGATCAATCAGAGGAAAATGTGTGCACTGACTAAACCGTTACTCAAGTCTACTCAGCTGTTCCAGAAGGGTCATCAGTCATCTACTGACCCTCTCCGTTGACATTTGACGAATGTGTGATAACGGAGGATTGGATGATGGAAGTTGTCAGGCTCAGCAGTGTCTGTGGTAATGTTTGAATTTTGCACTTACGAGAAATAGATGATAATCCGAAGAGAACAACTTTAGTTGACGATGCTGACTAATGTTGGTTGGTCAGAATGAGACTGCATACGTGCCGCGAATATACTTCTGTGACTAGAACTGGTGTATTGCTTGAGCACAGAAGTAGTCACCTGCTAAAACGACTACATATTAACGTTTCAGCTTTAGCAGCAAACAAGACAGCTTTCGATTAAACTCATCGTTTACATTGTCTGAACTGCGATCGGTTCAGCGAGGAGCGTAAGGAGAGATTATGAAAAGGCATCAGTGGGTATCGACAACATTCGCCAATGGGTCCGTTCGGAAGGGCGGCACATGTACGACTATCCACTTGTAGTTGGGATTTTTCTGTTCTAGCTCTGAATGCTGTGATGCTTACACTTACTCTAACAAGTCGTCGCGAACTAGCCGAAGAATGAGCTGTGATATTCACTCTTAAGGTGAGGTTAAGTGATGAATAGGCACACTGAGGGTTTGTCAGCGTTTGTCTCCAAAACGCAACATACATCAATGACCTGTGATGCCACCATAGTTCTCTTCTGGCTAGTAGTGAAGCGTGTTTTCCAATTTGGAGAAGAAATTTGAGACGATAAATTCTATAATATAATGTTTGCAGCGTGTGGTTTTAAGAAAGTATGAATAGTATTTCCCAGGGTGTGGTTGCCAATTAATAAAGGAGGTTGGAGAGAGAAGGGGAGGTGAAATGAATATTCGTGGAATGGTATCAAGAGTGGAAGGAAAGCAAGAAGGTGAATGTGGGTGGGTAAGTTTGCTAACAGGGATGTGTGGGTTATTACTACCCTATCGGCCTTGTGGAAGAATTTGGTGTTCTTGAGACAGCAGAAACAAAAAGTGCTGCATGACCAAGTTGTCTAAAGTACAAGTGCTTGAGTAACTGTTTCACAGCTCCTGTTTGAATTTGTTTCTGTAGTTCTATCCGTAATAAGATGTTACCACCGGCACAAGGTTAGTCGGGTAGTATTTTCTTAAGGATCGACATTTAGGTTCCTTCCTACCGTATATCGAAGAGACTGTATTATAAGTGGCTTGCTGGTCTTATGAAAGAGACATTATAATCCTGTTGCATCCTTATTCTCAAGCAGTAAGATTTCTCTCAACATAGTGTAAAGCGTTTATGCACGACAAAGACAAATGCTTGTAGTTTATCTGCAATCTAGATTACCCTCTTGACATGCTACTACCGGGAGGAACATCAGTTCCAGGCAGTGTAGCTCTTTGGATGTGTTCTGATACAGCCTAACAGACTATTCAAAATTACAGTATCCACCCCACCCCACAACAACAACATCGCCACAGGCTAAACAAGACAAAAGATGAACCGTTGGTGAGAGTTCCAACTACAGACAGTCGGAATGGATGAAGATGCTAAAGCTAGCCAGAAACAGAAAGGCAAGAGACACCTTCATCAATCTAAAGTCGGTTCGGATATCTTCTGCACTCCGCTCAATTAAGAACAAGATTCAGATTCTCAACATATATATGTAGAGTCAGTTTGTTCTTCTATAAATGTCAGCAAAATACACTGAGTGGCACGAAAAGAATTTCCAGCAACCTGTCGCAGACTTTTATCAACAGCTGCCCGCCTCGCTTGCTCCATATTGAAGATCAAATGGTTGGCTGACTGGCGAGAAAGAATTGGCAGCTAATAAACCAACCAAGAGGCGGTTGCTCAACGAAATGCATGAGAAAATGGAGATATATTGGGCATACGCTGAGGAGACTGTCGAACCACATCGCGTGCCAGGCCGTTGGATGGAATCTCAATGGGAGGCAACGATTGGGTGGTCACTGTGAGGGCAACATGAAGGAGATCTTCCTGAAGGGGGGGGAGAGAAGAGACTATGGGCAATCGTGGACCCAGCTGTAGAGAACAGCAGAAAATTGGAGAAAATGGGGATAACCTATAGTTTTGGCTTTATTGTCGCTGTTGATATCGAAAGCTGAAATTGTCAATCCTGTAATATTTTTTTAATTTTTGTGTTTTTGCTGTTTTGGAGTAAATTAGATGCAGTAGCATTGTACAGAATTCTGAGAATTCCATTCACCATCACACTACATTATAAGTAGTGTTTTGGAATAAAACCAATTATTGTTACTATCATTATCAAATACAACAAGTCTTGTGATTTAACCACGTGACAGTGATTTCTGATAATCAATAAAATTGAAATAATACTGGGCAAGTGAAATGCAACTAACAGTGGGTAGGAGCAATTTATTACAGCCTAAATAGAAAAAATATAAGAATAAAAATTTCCCTTATGAAATAAAAGTATGAAATCAATCCTTGACAACACACTAAGTCAATCTGTCATAGATACACAACTACTAAATGAACACAAAGCGGATTGTAAACATTTACTGCAATCGCATAAATTAAAAAAGCTTCTTCAAAAAGATATTTACTCAGTAAAAGTAAATTCTTCTTCTTATTCTACATCATCATCAGCAGCAGCCACATGTAATAATCTATTAAAATTACCACGGATTGAAAAGAATATTGTAAATAATCGTAACCATGGTAACAGGTATACAAGTAAAGCAGTAAAACAAACCAACACATCATTTACTGTAACATGTCCAACGGATTATTTTAAAAAATTAGATGAGATTAAACAAAAAGAGATATTGCTTCAAAAGAAATTGGATGAAAAGAAAAAATCACTATCAAAAAGAGATTTAATCAGTAATCAAAGCAATGAATTGAAACATTTGAAAAATAAGCGCCAATTCAATGCAGATAATACTTTGAAATGTAAACTAAATGAAGAATTTGGCATCAGTAATATTAAAAATGGTATAATTAATAATGAAAATAACACGAATAATGATAATGACAAGGAAGGTGATGAAGTTGAAAGAATGGAAGAAGGTCAATTGAATGAGAATGAAAAAATACCAAAAAATCTTGAGAAAGATGGACGACAATCATCGGATAGTGTGGGCAGATTGAGATGGACTAGTAGTATGAGTACTAATAATGGTAACAGTAGTAAAAGCAGTAGCAGTAGTAGTAGTGATAATGTTGAAAAGCTTTCATCATCATCATCAACAACAACAGAACCAATTGCTGACAATCTCTTTCCAATGCAAAGTCGACTTTCAACGCTGATTGAAAATGTGTTAAGTCGTCAAAATGTAGGCAAACGAATGGCTAGAACTGGCACGGGGTTTAGTTGTGTCCCACCAAGACGTATACACTCATTAACTATTATTAAAGAGGATCCAATGATGAAATTAATCGGTAGACATATTAATCATTCATTAGGTTTTAAAGTCTGTGAAAAGACAGATTCGTTAATCGTAGAGCCAGATTATGAATTAATGCATAATGTTAATGTTTTATCAAAATATGAAGCGAAATATGAAGCTAAAAGAAATCAAGAAGAAGAAGAAGCGAAACGTGAATGTAGATTACGTAAAATGGTAAGATAAGTAGTGTTTTTCCCTGGGTTGTAATAAAGGAGAATGTGTATAAATTATTATTGTGAGATGCATAAAACGAGTATTGCGCATCTTTGGATGCTGTCTTTCTTGTCGAAAAGAATGTCAACTGACACAGGATTGGTTACAGGATTTCATCATGAGCTGACATCAGTTAGAGAACCATTGGAAATCCAGCTGGGAGTACTAGACAGCTGTTTCGTTCTAGTTTGAGACTCTTCAAAAGTACGCAACCACCGGGGTTCGAACCCAGGACCTTCTGCTTACAAGGCTTACAAGGTTACACAGGATTGATTAGGTTGAAAATGAATTAGACCTGGTCAGACCAATTCATGGCATCAGTCTTTAGATAGAGTTGAGACTCAGAAAGGCATTCGAAGAGCATACAGATTTTCGCAAATGATATATGTCTAATGTTACACAAACTCAAGGAGAAAACCGATAAACTGGCAGAAGAGGCAGGCAGCGAAAACCGGACTGTAGGTGAGCATAAAGAAGAATGAGGTGATAAAGGTAACTAATCAACAGCCGGTGGCACAGTGGTTAGGACTCTCGCCGACCATGCACATGGTCCAGGGTTCGAGCCCACGCCGGTGCACACCTGATATTTATGGTCGGCCTGAGAAATTTGGGCTACCGATATCCATGCTGAAAATTCCATACTTGTACCAAAAATACAGTGTGGAATCAAGCTGTAAATCAAAAAAAAAAGAACAACCAGCACCAATCACCATCAACGGGAGAGATTTAACAGAGGTTACTTCCTCCACTATTCTGGATAAGAAGCATCCTCTCGACTACAGGTGACAGCATGGATGAGGATGTCAAAGCTAGTCAGAATCGGAAAGGCAAGATACGCCTTCGTCAACCTGGAATCGATTTAGAAATCTACTGCTACACTCCGCCTCAGCATAAACAACATGTTTCTGATTTTCAACACAAGTGTCAGGGTCAGAAACTTACACTGCGTTTGCATCACGAAAAACATTTCCAACAAGTTACGGACTTTTATTAACAGCTGTCCCCCTTCACTAGTTCAATACTGAAGATCAAATGACAAGCCGGCCAGAAAGAATTAACAACGAGAAACTGTGGCAACAAACCAACCAGGATCCGATCGATCAACAAATATGTAGGAATATACACATTGGGTCATAGGAGTTATTAAAAAGACAATTGCAGCGAAGAAAATTTTCTTTTCAACGAAGTCACCATCAACTAGGCTGTACATTTGTGTATTTATGATAAATGGATGGGAAAGGCCTAGAATAATTTCCGGTTAAGGGTCAAATTAATAAAAATTACAATTAGGAATTAGAATGCCATAGTAAACAGGGGGACGGATAAAACTCAAACAAAGTAGCATCATAATAATTTAGAAGTAATGTTCATCCCATCGCCTTTCTTATCTAAACTTCCTGTTCATTCATGTTATTTCAAGTTTTTCTTGATCCCTGTTTACACTACCATATTTTCATACCCGAACTTCGTGTTTATTTTGTCATTTTACTATTTCTACATATTTAATCCCTGATTGCATAAACAATTATTCATCACATTAGTTTTTTATCCAAACATTCTGTCTTGTTTTGTTATTTCTACATTTCTAACCCCTAACTGCACAATGTCAATCTTTTTAGTTATTATGACGCTACTTTCTTTGAGTTTTATCCATCTCCCTGTTTACTATGGCATTCTAATTCCTAATTGTAATTTTTATTAATTTGACCCTTAATCGGAAATTATTCTGGAACTTTCCCATCCATTTATTACAAATACACGAATGTACAGCCTAGTTGATGGTGAATTCGCTGAAAAGAAAATTTTCTTTGCTGCAATTGTCTTCTAAATATGTAGGATTTGAATAAGGTATTTAGAAGACAAATTTGCGAGATGATATCGTCATTTCGTAGTTTCTTCACAACCGCTTTACAAATAACATGGTTAACAATAACTTTTTAAAACATTATAACTCATCACTTTTGTTGCTATCCTCTTATCAACATCCAATTCATCTGAACCTACTAATTGTATTTTCGTTTGACAAATTTAATGTATACACACACACACAAAATAACCATATATATTTGCGATTGTACAGCTATGAAAATGAATTCGCCGAAAAGAGACTCTTCGCTGAACTACTTGTCTTCTGTCTACTAATGTTCGAATGGGAATTATTCATGAAATAAAATAAAGCTCATGACAATTACTCAGTTAAATAAAAATACAAAATTGCCTACTAATGACCAATCATATTTAAATAGATCAAGTAGTCAGTTCATGGTAGACGAAGATTAAAGTCTGTTGTGTTGTTTTTGTACACACAGTTTAGGCTGTATGCAATTTATCCAAAGTGCTTCCATCACCTTCAATAACCAACCTTGAATTAGAGTTATGTGAGATAATTGTGAAACAGTCATTAATATTGATTGATTTTGTGACCTGACATTTGTAAGTGCTTTGCAATGGATGATGATGATAATGCTGGATTTCTGTTCATTGGGATTTTCTACGTTTTAGTAACCATATTGGAACATGTTCTTTTCGACGACATTAAAACATTCTGTTGGTTCTACCTATATAGGTGCCATCGCAGCTGCAGGTGAACTTGTAGATACAGTTTGAAGTAGAGTCCACAGAATTTCATCCTTTAATCGTAGGTATGGGGATCGAAAATGTTCGGCATGTGAGAAAAAGAGATGCGGTGTAGAATTGTTTTGATTACAGCTTGATTCCACACTGTATTTTTGGTACAAGTATGGAATTTTCAGCATGTGATATCGGTAGGCCAAGTTTTGCAGGCTGACCATAGATATCAGGTGTTCGTCTGCAGGGGATCGAATAGGAGCTGTTGATCAAAATTTAATTTTTGAATTTTTTGATGAATTAAAAAATGTGTGTGTGTGTCGAGACTCATCGATCACTGTGTCACTCGTGGATATTTTTCTGGATCTTGAGAACAAACATTTCACCAGGGGGGGAACGTTTATACTGGATAGGAACAAAACTGGTAAAATGAAGATATTGTCCACTCGATGTCTGTTTACGAAAAATAGATCGCTGAATCGTTCCATCATCTCTCCTGGTCATTGTTATATCCAAGAAGCCGAGTTCGTTATGTAGGAGAAAATGAAGATGAATCGGGCATAGGCTGAGAAGACCGTCGAACCACATCGCGCGCCAGGCCCTTGAGTGGAAGCGAGGGGTGGGTGATAACTCTGAGGGTGACATGGAGGAGACTGTGTGGCAAGAATGAGAGGAGAGACTATGAGCAATCGTGAACCCAGCTGTAGAGGACAGCAGAAAATAGGAGAAAATGGAGATGTGTTGTTGAGGCCCTATGTTCCACTCGGAACCCAAGGGAACAATAATAATATAATAATAGTCCCTGACTGCTGGTTTGAGGAGCGCGGGGAAGTTTATTCTGCCTACTTTCGGCCTTCAGACCTCTGAGAAGGAAATGTTGAGACTAGTTGCAATACTAACCAAAATCATTGTCAGTGAGACAGATGGATTCACTCTTTGCAATATCCTACATCCCGTAAATCCTCATGTAACTCCACTTAATTATCTTTCTCTAATCTCTTGTACATTTCTGCTCACCATAGTTCCATTTTACCTCATCTAGTTTATTGCTGTTGATGTGTGCAACCTGAATCAATTTATTGATTCAAATAATCTGAATGTTAGTTTCCCAACTAAGCATATCAAAGAACTAATCCTTAGAGGTACACTGAATGTTCCGATTTTATTCAGTGGTCACACATATCTAAGCAAAGATGGAGTAGCAATGGGTTCTGAATTTGACACAATTGCTCACCGTATGCCTGCCTTATAGCCTACCTTGGGTCAAATATCCTCCTACCAGCAAGGAAACGGTTGGAAGTTTACAGGTGATATCTTCCACCTCATCGTTACAAATGAAGATAATGACCTGAACAAAGTCCTGAGAATCCTCAACAAACAACATCCATCAGTCGAATTCAAGAATAAGGTGGAGTAAGAAGGTTAATTATTCTTCTTAGATATCCAGATTACGTGACTACAAAGGTCAAGTCACCACAAGCCAAATTCGAATGCAGTGCTGACAAACTATCATAGTTTTGTCACAATGAACAGAAAAGGAAACTTCATCATTTCACTGCTGACGAGAATCTACTATATATGCACTGAAGCATATTGAATGAGGAGTGTGAAGTTTAAGAAACACTCATCAGAAATTATTATCCAACCTCTTTCATCGACAAACATCTAAAGAGAAGAAGCGGTATTCTGAAAAACCAGTGTGCGCCAAAGAAACAATTAATCGTAAGCCTGAAACTCAACGGAGGTTCTCTGAAGCTGGAGAACGTCGTTCTACGTTGCTGCATCTCTAAACCTCACCTCACCTTTTCCAAACATGGTCTTCTTCCCAGAATTAAAATCTAATATGACAAAGTGGAGGAAGAGATTGAAAACTGGAGAATCGAATGAGAACACATTCAACAGGAATTATTCAGCACCTGTCTGAAATAGCTGGAAGATTGTACTAACCTCGTGATAAATGAGGAGAATGAAAAAAACTATAAAAATCCAGTCGCTAAGTTGCATTGTTGCAACTGACGGGTATGTGAGCAATCAATCGCGTTAAAAATGTCATCGAGCAAAATATGCTGTTTCACACTGTATGGTACATCCAGTGTACAAATTAATATTGATTTGGGGACACATGAATCAGAAAAGAGATCTCTTTCCGTAAATCCACTTCAAAGCTATACACCTTTTTAGAGTGTTTATATATTAAATGGTTATTGATAACACAGACACCAAAAGTTATTGTCAGTTAGTTACAAAGTATATCAAAGTTTAGGAGTAGTAACTATGTTTGAAATGTTAGGAGTAGCCCTACGTAAGTAATCACAAGGGTTGACAACTAATCAGTAAACTGATGCATAATCATTTAGAAATAGTTGATATCGGAAAAGGGAACAAAAGATTAAGAATGAGTGTGAAGACATAAAACGGATTACTTAGAGCTTATAACACAATTATTCAGAAAACGAAAACGGGAAAAATTAGTACCAATCCGTCATCGTAGTAGTAGTAGTAGTAGTAGTAGTAGTGAAAGAGGCTAGATAAAATGACTTTCGTAGAGACAAGTTTCAAGTTTCTCTTATGCATGATTCCTAAGGATTGCTAATGCTTCTGCTGCATGAAGAAGATATAAGCAAAATCTTTTCAAATGACTTAGCCGAACTTTGCATATGAGTTTGAAATAAGTCTCTGGTGATGCTGGTGTATAGTCAGAGGTAATCATAAGTTCCAGAACTGAGCTGTTTACTGCTCTGCCTTCTCATTTTGACAAACATGCTGGTAAGTGTTCGTGTTTGCGTCTAGACAATGAATTTCCCGATGGTATGGCCTATGTACTTAGCTCCACAGGAGCAGGTCAATTGATAAATACACAGTGAAGTTCGTCACAGTGGGATCTTGTCTTTGACGTTTCGGTGAATAAAAGCATCTCTGGATAATGTGAGGTGAGGCGTAGAGATAAAACAGCAGAGAATGACGTCTTTCAAATTGCCATGGGCAGGCAGATTTGGAGAACCTCAATAATTGTATCTTCCTGCATTGAGTTTCAGCCTCACAATTAGTTATTTCTTCGGGAAAAACAGTTTTACGGAGGATTTGTCTTTCTTTTTAGGTTTTTGTCGATGAAGGGGGTTGGATATGCATCTTTACGGTGAAGTTACGATAAGAGATCCCTCTACTGACTCACTTGTTTCTTTTTACATAAAAATGTAAATTTTTCCTACTTTTTCATACATACTATCACGACGTCAAGCTTTTACGTAAACACTGTTCATGTTAACAGTACGTTACTGCCAAGCTTTATTTGTTAAGATCGTTTTGGGCTCTGGTTCTGCAGTAGTATGATAACAGAAGACAAGGGCCAGGCAACAGATCGTTTATTAACGAAATCAACACATATTTATAGATTTTCATGTACATTATTATAGATTATTGTCAGCAGATAAACACAGTCTTCTGATTGGTTGTTTCTCACTGAAAGTTCATCTTTCATCTCTTTTTGGCTGTTTCTTGAATGTCAAATCATCTATCTGCTAATTGTATCCACCTATGCAAAGTCTACTGTCAGTCTTTGTTCTTGTTTTCACTAATATTTGACTAATATTTGGGACATAAGTATTGACGTAAATTACTGTCTACCAGTTTGGATAGCAGCCAGCTCTCACCAGAGTAGAATACTTCCATGTTTTCCGGATTCGACTCCATAGCCGAGACACTCATGAACCCCTTTCATACTGGAATAGACAGAAGATTGAGCTACAGGCTAGGGAGAACACAACTGCTACTGCAACTTCAAAGCATCATTCCCTTTATTGCGCACAGAACACAAAGAATAAAAAACATTTCATATATTTTGCTCCTTTGATAAGTTTCTATCAGGAAGGAAAGAACAGATTTACAATATCAAATCTGATATCACTTTATTTCACAGGTTCTCATCAGCTGCAAAACTACCTGAAATTACAATGGTTATAAATAATAACAGTAACATACTTAAATATACATACAGGCATTACAATTTTTGGTTGAAGTTACCATCAGTTTACGAATTTTCAGAATAGAAAAGGAGGCCGGGGGATAGGAGAAGATAGAAAACAGAAAACTCTTATAAACAGTATCAGCATGTAGACTTACATATCAACTCAAGGAGGTTATAGGTAGGTAATAAAATTGGGAACTGGCTTAGTGAGCTGAAATCACTAATATGCCTGAATATTCAATGTATTCAAAATCCAGTTACCAAAGGAATCAGAGAATGATTGCACTCTCTTTTTGTACACTGCATAAATTTGGTTTGAAATGCTTGATTGCAACTGCTTCAACAAAGCGTAGTAAATTTGAGGTCCTTTGTATGTTTAATATTTTGAGGAATTTAGAAATCTCAAAGAAATAACCCGTATCCACAGAATGTCTAGTGATGATTGCACTTTGTGAATATCTGCTTCCTTTTTGGACGTATGTTTCCAGGGATATGCTTTGAAAACCGAATAGAAGGCCCTCTTTCTGTCCTTTTAATGTATTTGCATCGGCAAGTGCACGTAAGTTTATACACGTAGTTGGAAATGACATCAGCAGGGTTCTTATCCAGTTTGGGTTGGCATATATTGCATGTGATGGTGTATAGCATTGCAAGCTTAGTTGTTGGAAAGCATCGTTTTACTGTTCCTTTCATTCTTTTGTCAATCTTTTGTCATACTACCTCTGCTTTGAATAGGAGACAAATGAACATTTTCTTCTTTTCAACAGTATGGTGTTTAATCTTCTCGTCCTTTTCTTTGCTGTAGTTTTGGACAAATCTCTTTGGATACCCATTTTCTCTTAGGCATTTCTCAGCCTTACTAATCCATGATTAAAGCTTATGGAACAAAAGCTGTTGTGGGGGAGATATTTTCTGAATGGACTTCTCGACTGTGGAATCGTTTCTTTGTCTTTGTCTTCTTACGTTAAGGGTCCAGGAAATTGAACTGATTGCTGCGTTCATATTTCATGGGGAAACTAATGTTTGAGTAGATCATATTAAGACGGTCAAATAATAAAGATTTGTCATGAACCATGTTGTTACAAACAACAATAAACGAATCATCAACATACCAGCGGTAGTAGAAATAGGATTATATCGATTTAAAGAGTAAATCTGGTATTTCCTTCTTCAGTGAATGAAAGATAATTATCAATATTATTATTATTATTATAAAAGTATTAATTCTTCCACATTAGTTTGTTTCTTAGATGGATGTATCACACAGTCAGTGAAACAGTATTATTTACTAAATGACAAGGTTTCGAACACAACTCATTATTGTTCATAACCATTTGATCAATTATAATCACACGACTTCGAAACTATAGTTTTATTGTTTTCTTTGTTCCCCCCTATTTGTCGTTTGAGTAGTAGAATTTTCCAGATATCTCGGTAAACAGGTGTTGAATCATTCCTATTACACGTACTTCCTGTCAGTTGATTCGATAAACAAAGCTTGTGTTATCAATCTCTCCTCCCTCCATCCTGTGACATTAGATTTTAAAAGACGTCTTAAAATGTTCAGCTGCACCCCAAAAGTATGATGGAGGTATGTAAATGACACATTCACTGTATTTAGAACACAGAATACAAATAGATTTCTTCAGACACATTAACTCAAAGTTGAAGGCAATTCGATTCACTTATGAAGCGGAAAGTTAGGAAGGAGAACTGTCAATGTTAGATTGCAGTGTAAAAACCAAAAAGATGGGAAGTTAAACACTAGTGTTTAGAGAAAACCCACATATTCAAACAGATACTTGCACTTCAGATCATCCCATCCAAAGTCAGTGAAAACAGAATTGGTGAAAAGTTTAATTAATTGAGTACAAAAACTAAGTAGTACCAATGAAAATCTAAGACAGGAAGTGATACATATAAAAGAAGCCTTGAAACTTAATAATTACGCTGATAAATTAGTCAGGAAATATGCAGGGAAATGTAAAAATAAAATAAATAATGATAGTAGTCATAGTGATAATAATAATAGTATTAATGACGACGTGCATGTGAAATGGGCGCAAGACAACAGCAACAATAAGGAATCTAAATCATCAGTAGTATTTCTATACAAGGAAGAAACTTCAGAAACCATCTTACGCAGAATTCACAACAAGGGAGGAATAAAAATGGCATTCAAACCATCCACAAACTCAATTAGAAACAAGCCTTGTCGGTTAAGGTATCAGTCCTGTAGAGCCATTAAAACAAAACAATTTAGTTTATCTAATACCCTGCTGGAATGATTGTCAGGTTAAATACATAGGTGAAAGTAGTGGAACAGGGGCAATCAGACTAGCCGAGCATAAAAACCCAGCAGTGAAATCCAGATTAGTTGACCCGAATAAGAAAGGAAATGTAGAGAATGGTTCAGCTACAGAATTCATTGCATGCAGTTACACACAACCATAAAATAGGATGGGATAGAATGACATTTTTAAAATCTAATGTCACAGGGTGAATGGAGGGAGAGATTGATAACAGAAGCTTTGTTTATCGAATCAACTGAGAACAGAGTACGTTTAATAGGAATGATTCAACACTTGTCCAGTTGGATATCTGGAAAATTCTACTACCCATACGAGAAGAAAAAAACTATAAAACTCAAGTTTCGAAGTCGTGTGATGATAACTGATGATATGATTATGAACAATAATAAATTGTGTTCGAAACCTTATCATCCAGGAAATAATAATACAGTTTCACTGTGCGATACATTTAATAAACAAACTTATATGGAATTACTTAAGAACACAGTGCCAATATTTTACACATAAACTATTAATTACTGTTTAACTTACCGTCTTCTTTGAATTGTCCATTTTTTAGACTGAAGAAAGTGAGAGGTTTTGTATACCAACGAGAAAGCAAATATCATTGTTAGACAATTCTATACCACACGATTCATCTGCTTCTCAATCGATGAATATTATGAATGATGAAAGTCAACAAGAACAAAAAGTTGACCAATGCGAAATTAGGTACTATTTTAATCCTGTTCTACAAATTCAGCCTAATCAAGAAGTATGGTTATCAAAAAGTTTAAACATAAATCAAAAGTGTCCAGAGAACAAGACAGTAATCTTCATGATAACGATGAGGATGATGATGACGATGATGATGATGATAATACCATTGAACACATTGATCAAATTGATGATAGTTTAAAACAAGATAGTGGTGAAAATAATGAACATGTTGAATCCAACATTATATCATCACCGTCAGAGAACATTGAAGAGGAGGACGAGAAGCAGAAGAAGAAAGAGGACGAGGAGAAGTGGGGGAGGAGGATAAACACCACAAAATAGGTAGAACAGAGAAGAGTGAATCACTATTACCAGTCATCGAAGAAAATACCAATCAAACTCCTCACTACCGTTTGACATTAGATAAAAAATCAATAGATTTGAAGTCATCTGATGAAAAAGAATCTACAGTCGACCGGTTAACGACATCCTATGAAGATATGCATCCAGAGGAGGAAAAGAGAACAACGTCTTTATTAGGATCAGATAAATGTGAATATTATTATTTATCCGATAATGACAAGACTACTGATAGGCGACCTGTCAGTAGTGTCTGTAGTAGTGGTAAAAGTACTCCAACAAGTACAACTGACAATCAGCTGGGAAGTAGTACTCCTTACAAATCGGATAATTTAACTCTACCGAAGTTATCAGTACAACAAGAAGAAAAGTGTCCTCCATATTATAAGCACAAATCGCATGAAGGCAACATTATTCATAGAAGAGATAGTAAATTATTAACAGAAATTGATTTCACCAAAGTATTCGATAATCCAAATCCTATTGTATGGTTTGAATATTTAGGCGATCCTCGTCTTGGTAACCCGTTTATTCAACCAAATATTGAACATCAAAAGCTGGTTGCACAATTCAATTTAAAAGGTTTAAAAAAGCGGTTTATCTCTGTCTCCGGTGGTTTAAGTGAGTTAAAACAACACCTGGCTAAAGGTTTTCAAATTCATCCAAAACCTGAAACACTAATTAAATGTGCTATCAACAATGAGGTATTACAATTACCAATGGCAAATATTAGCGATTCGAAAACAATTAAAAATATTTGTCAATTTAGTATAATTAAATCACCGATTCTAATGAAAATGTTATTAAGACATCGTGAAATACTGCCAAGAGATTTACAAGAATTTTTAAACAGTATTATGGAGTTGACAGAGACCAGTGGAGAAATGTTGGCCTCGATAACCAACTCACCGACAAGACTCGCCAATCTTATTCAATTAGCTAAAGAATTAAGCTCCACAGCGTTAATAACCAATGGTACAATGAAACAGCAGAGTGCAAAAGACTCTGCTGATGAACAACGTCATGAAGAGAGAGATCGGGAAGTAGTAGAAGAAGGGAAACATCGAAACGCTGAACAAAATGATCTCCTCAATACTGGTGAAGAAGCTGTTGACTGGAAATTCACGTCAAGACGTGAACCACGTTCATCATTATTATCAAATTTGACAAGAAATTCAAGGCTATCAAAAATGTCAAGTAATTCTTTACAATTGTTGAAAAATGCTAATTTTAAACAATTTAGTGATTTAGGCGATATCAATAATGAATATAATGATGAAAAACAATATTCCGGCTGTACAAATTATTCACGAGAAGAAGATATTGACAAGGCATTCTATACAGTGTTACGTAATCCAGCGCAGACAATCATAGAAGAGATCGCTTTAAGATTCCCTGAATTCTCTATATACATTCAACCGTTATTTGAATATCGTTGGTCAACAATCGAGGAGGAATTCTTTGAGAGTATACCAGAGATAGAAAGACAACGAAATAGTTTTACAATGATTAATGATATATCTAGAAATACTGTGAATAATGCTGACGAGGTGAATGGTATTCAAGAAGATATCAACACTAAACTGTCAGTTGTATCTTTACCAAATGAAGTAGACGAAACTATCCCGAAAAGGCGTCGTTCGTCAATTTACTATCCTCGACAGCGGTGGCGGCTGTGGTGGCGATGAACTCAACGACAAAAACACGACAGAAACAAAAATTGCATAAATGTGAATTATTCAATCAACCGATTATACCTGAATTGTGCATATTTTTGTTAAAACGTTTCCTTTTACTAATCAATACAGCGAATTCACAGTCTCCAGGACATACACTCTGGAATGATTTATTAATCTGTATACATATGTCAAATTATTATCCTCAATTAAGTGACATTTTAGTCAGTGAATTGGACAATTGGTTACCTTTGTTAATTATTGGCTTAGAAAGTTCTTATGCATCTGTACGTGAAGAATCTGTTGTATCCTGGCCTATTTAGTCTGTTCATATCGATTAATGATGCGTTTACATGTGGTTAGTAAACACTTGTTAGTTGCAAATATCACACTGAGTATTCTATCAGCTATTGGACAATATCCAGAATCGTATGCATTTTATCATAGCCTCCTCGGTTATATGCTACATTCAATTCCGTGTGTATCAATTCTTGACTGTTTGTTACTATGGTTACCGACACTTACTAATAATACTGATAAAAATAATATTACTAGCGGTAGTAGTAGTGGTAATAATAGTAATAATATAATTACACGAGATTGGTGTTTATTTGTCTATTATGTATTGAAACATTGGCCAAGGAATCCATTCTACTTAGATAGTAGTTATCAAAGACGATTAGTACAACCATTAGAGAATAGTTATTTGAATAAAGTTTCAAAGCATACAGGACGATTAGCCCTGTGTCATTTAATACGTACATGTAAAGTTAAAAGTGTTCTTGTCACTTGTTGGCCAGATGATGAGTAGTAGTCAGACTCCTCGTCCACCCCCTGCTACACATAATCATAATAATAGTTATGTTTAAATAGATTGTGGTAATATATTGAAGATACACACGAAAACAGATTTTGTGTGTGTATGTGTGCGTCTGTGCGTGCGTGCGCGCGCGTCTACCCAAGCATGTTGTCCTTTGAATGAAGACTGATTCTAATTGGACGCTTCACGACGCCATCACATCTCAATGAATACTTCTGTTACATGAATTAAATACTTGTTACCACAGAATTGTACAACTCTGTTGATATGAAATAAATCAATCAAAAAGTAAAATTTTTTAAAATCGTTTTTGTTGGTTTTTTGAAAAAAAAAACACAAATGAGTGTCTTTTTCATAAAATCCTGTTTGGGGAAAACAAGTTGCAATGATATCCAGTATAGATGTAGACTGTATTTATTAAGAAGTGTACATGGAAAGACATTAGAATAGTCCCTGTCCCGAAACTTGGAAATAGCAAGAATGTAAAATTCACATCCATTGGCATCACTTCCCTGTTTCTAAAACTGATAGAAAAACTAGTACTTCTTAAACTTGAACCCTTCCTTAACAGTTTTGAAGACCCCAAACAATTGCATATAGACAGGGAAGGAGCAATTTAGATACTGCAGTCGTCTTACACAACAGTATCGTCTCACCATTAGATAAAGGTGCCAAATACGTTCGCTACACGTTTCTCGACTTCGCTTCTGCTTTCGACTCTGTACCTAGATGTCTCTTGCTAAATAGCTCTCGATGACACAAACTGAGTTCTAGGTCACAAACTGGTTGCATTCCTGATTTCTCAAACAGAATGCAGTACACTGTATACAAAGGTAAATCCTCCTCTGCTGTGCTCACTGCAGCTGGTGTCCGCCAAGGTGTGTAATAATAATAACAGTTTTATTCCAATCAGTATTTGTGATACAGGTATGGAATTTTCAGCGTGCTTTACAATATATTGCATCTAAATTACCTCATAAATTTTTATAAGATTTTAAAATCAAAAAGCGACACAAAGAAAAGATAAATAAAAAAATAAAAACAAGAGCTTTGCATTTACATTTTTAACAGTGCACCACAGGATATGAAGTATAAAATTGGTGTGTAATAGAAGATGAGAACAACAGTTTTTGTTTTCTTTTCCTTGTTACTATTACACTAATGGGACTATTTGTTAGAGTGTCGCAGTAAATTGATCGTGTCATACCTAACGGATTTCTCATCAATAAGCAGCTGTGCCAGATATGGTGTTGTGGAGCTTTTGTACTTGGTAGTCCTAGCATATAGCCTCGTATAGCTGCTTTTAGTTCTACCAGATGAAATGCAAGAAGAGAGCAGCGTATAGAGAGGATGTTGGGGTCTGACAATATGTCTATCCACAATAGTGTTAACCAGTTGGTTTAACGATATCCCACATGCCCTACCAACGGCTTTTAGTGCCTTTCTTAGCAAAGCAAAGTCTTTCTTAAGTAGTCCAGGAAAGATTAAAGGGGAACAGTAAATGGGGATGGGTAGAATACAAGAATTGAAAAAATGAGAAAGCAAAGACTGCTTTATACCAGACTGCCTAAACTTCCTAACATAGAACGCTAAGCGAAACATCTTTCTAGTAACTAGCAAGATGTGGGAGGACCAGGAAAGATTGGTGGAAAAACTCAGACCAAGGTACTTGACATTAGATCTATTTTCAACCTCTATGCCGTCAATGATAGTGGGGCCATGTGAGCTAACTAGTTGTTGTAAGTCACGTTTACGTCTGAAAGTGAAACTGACTACTTGACATTTAGACGGATTCAGCTTAAGGCCGTTTGAGGAGGACCATTGACTAATTTCCGACAGAAAGTTATTTAATTTGGAACAATCTGACTGAGAGTTGACAGGCACAGAAAAGAGAGGCTACATCAGAATGAGTCAAGCCATGTAAGAAAAAATAAAACAGAAAAGGAGAAAGAACAGCACCTTGAGGAACACCAGCTAAAGTAAGTGAGGTAGTGGAGGACTTTCCATTGTAGACGGTGTACTGCTTCCTATCAGAAAAATAGGAATGCAACCACTTATTTGTCCAGCTCTCAGCCTGTGTTGCAGCAAGCCTACTTAGCAAGAGAGACCTAGGAACAGAGTCAGATGCAGATGTGTAATCAAGGAAGGCACAGCAAACGTACTCTCCCACTTCTCTTTTCTTTCTTTCTACATGACTTACCATCTTCAATTGACATTAATTTTGTTAAATATGCTGACGATCTGACTGTATCTTTGCCTGTCAAATATCAAAGTGACTACTCCAAACTAAATGACTCATATGGGAAATGGGCTAAATTCATTCTATCTAACTCACACCACCCTCTTCATTCACAATTCTCCCCTTGTATCTCATCAGGCAGGACCAGAAGCCCATGTAGAAAACTATAAGCCTGCACTAGCAAGTACAAAAATTCAGCCGTACCCTACTTAGCTCGTGTTCTGTGTGATAAAGAAAGCATTAGGCGTGATACCTATAACTTATTAAACAGTCACTAGGACAATTGGATCTCATCTTTCCGACTCATATAATTTATCGGTACAACGTTTTCTTTCTTTTCCTTTTCTCTCTCTTTTTTCTCTGTTATGTGCTGCTTTGTTTCTTTCTTCCTTGCAAATTCTATTAAAGCATTCTTCGTTCTCTCACACTTTGTATATCTCGAACATTTTGTTACCGCTTACGCCAGTAAATATGCTAATATCTACTTTTCTAACACCTTCAAACATTCTGTTCACTTTTGGTTTTGCTACGGATATGCCAATATGTTGCTGTCAAAACGAACTGAGACTACCCATAGTCTATGTAGAATTTTATTTATTGATAATGTACAAACTGGATGAAATACTGTAGTGAAATGCTGACAATTCCATTCTGTATCACAAGTACTGTTTCGGAATAAAGCAAGTTATTATTATTATTAATAAATGAGTTTGTATTTAGATGGTTGGAGGCAATCGATGATAGGAAGCCTCACCTGACCTAGGTTTCACGCTAGTTAAGCATTCACCAGTCAACAAGGCAGGCGTATCTGCAATCTTTGCGGAAGTCATGCCCCTCCTGAGAAAGGAACCTGTGTCTATTTACAACAACAATGTCAGTTAGTAGTTGAGTCAAAGGCTTGCACACACACTACTAACGCTGCCTACTTAGGGTCGCCAGTGTTCCACATCATATGACATAGTCTTTCTCGACAAGCCCAAAGAAGAATAAGGGCAAACAATAAAGAAGTATAGGCAGAATACATTAATTAATTTTGATTTGACACTAGTAACTAGTGTGATGCGTCTAGTCCTCTGATTGGTGCAGAGTGAATTCTCTCAGTCAGGTTGTAGTGTGACCACCATTCTAGCTAGCTCGCCATCACGGTGCACATTGATTTGATGGTATTAGATGTTTGGAGGCAATCGGCACCGTGATGGTGAGCTAGCTAGAATGGTGGTCACATTACAACCTGACTGATAGAATTCAGTCTACACCAATCAGAGGACTAGGCGCATCACACTAGTTACTGGTGTCAAATCAAAATACAGTCCTACAGGAGGTCAGTCGCGAGCCCGAATAGCTCAATAGTTACGTCTCTGTCTGCAGCACTGGGTGACGCGGGTTCGAATCCCAGAAGGGACATGAGTTCCCTCAATATTGCAGATACGCCTTGCAGATGTATGCCAACTAGCGCGAAATCTAGGTCCAAGGCCTCCTACGGATTGCCTCCAACTATCTAATACCATCACATTAATTAATTATTAAATTGTAAGAGAAGAGGTTGATTAATGCGAGTAGAATGTCTCAAATTCCTTACGCATTAAGTGGAACAAGAAATGGACTTAGTAGTAAAGGGAATATGAAACGACTAAGAGAGATTCTATGAGAAACGCTTGCCGAGATAAGCGATATTCGATTCTCCCCCTATCACACTGCCGTCATCAGATTGAATCGGTTCACGCTAGTCTCATTCACATTTGAAACCATTTAGGTGAGAGGATTTGTTAAATTCAGATAAGAATCTATTCAAATAAGAACAATCACATGCAGAAACTACTGGGACAGAAATTATGAGGCCATCAGCATATTTAATTTAATTAGCTTTGGAAAAATATAGAAGGTGATGTAGACAGGAAGAAAAAAGTAAATGGAGGGAGTACAGCGCATCGAAATACATGAGTTTCTGTTAGCAAAGAAGTGGAGTGCTTTTCATTTAAATCACTATATTCTTTTCAACACAGAAAATAAGACAGCCAGCCACCTAGTGAGTCAGAAGTCTCTGTGTGCTGGAATCAACTTGTTTATTAAAAGTGCCCTAGGAATAGAGTCAAAAGCAGAAGTGTAATCTAAACAGGTGACTCGAACAATCTTTCCACCTTTATCAAGACTCGGAACAATACTAGGGTGAAGGACAGCGCAAGCATCGAAAGTGCTTCTACTGCATTTATAAACAAATTGCTTTGGGTTACTAAAAGAGTTCCAAAAGGTTTGAGAAAATGCAAGAGAAGTTTCTCCATAGTTTTTAAGAATGGAGACGTAAAGGCGACTGGCGTAAACTATTCAAACTATGAAAGGACTAGGTTCTTTTCTGAATTCACTAAACACGACCGTGTCGAATATCCGGTTTAGCTTTGAATTCTAATCGTTCAGTTGGAATTAATTGGTTAATTCTGTACTCCAGCTTCTCCGGTCTTCTTCCCTCATCGTATTCTATTCTTTTATCAAACGTCTTTGCTCTTTTCTTCTGATTTTTTTTTCGAAATATGACCATTATTTCTCAATATTTCACGGTCAGCTGATCACTTCGACAATAGTCTGGCATAGTAATTGGAATAAACTGAGGATGAATAATGAGCATATAACGTGCAACTGATGTGAACAAATATTATTATAGAATAGTCTCCATATCGTATTTTAGATAAAATCAGTGGCCTAAATATATGTATGTGTATATACACTCAACTACAGGAAATATGATGACCACTGAGTA